TTATGACAAAAAAAATGTGTGCATGCCTTCCGGCCTCTCATAAACAACACTGATTTCATCGTAGCCGCCGATACGGAGAGCGAAAGCGCATGAATAGCGCAGAAAACGAGGCCTTATTATCAAATCACTGACCGTACAGAATTATGACATATTGAATGAAAATAGAAGAAATTGATGGATTGATAATGTACGTTGACGATGGCGACTATTCGTCGATGCGAAGGGCTGTAATTACAGAAGCACGTGTTGCGCAATTGCAGAAGGCGTTAGCTATAATACATAATATTGACATAATAGCTACGGACAAACAAGTTAACTGACTTTGGTAAACTTTTGAAGTTAATTCGTGACAAAGGTAACGTGTTGCATGATCGTACCTGCTCCAGTTATATTTGGAAGCCTGGACTGAAATAGTATCGGAAGCTGATTTGTAGCAAAACGTAATGTTAAAGTTTATAGTATTTAATTTTTTCCACTATTGAATGTTTAAGAATTATAGTGAATGCGATAAAAATAGGTAAAGAATATTTTTGCGCACCTTTCGGGATAGCCTAAAAGATTACGTGGCCACTTATTTTAGTGTGCAAACATGTATATACTTTCCTCAATGGCTGTTGAACGCTGTTAAGTTTCTTCGGCTGTGATATCAGCTGCGGGAACAACTCTAGTCGAATCTTCCTTTTTTTTTTGGAGCTATTACGCATTTTAAAACTTACAACTATTTAGACAGAAATGCTTTAAAGTCACGCTTCTAGACTTCAGATGTGTTCTATTTAGTCCTTTACGTTGGTTAGAACGACTTCCTGCAGCAAATGAGATGGAGGCTTCTATTTAAAATACGTGGCAATGATGAGGCTTGAATCCGAGGTGAATTCAGGCGCGCTAAACGACCTTACGTCGGCCCGTACCTTATTATTATATGGATCGGACATACGCCAACACACAATGTATCTAGCCAGAAGCACCTGAACGCACGAACAGATCGCCCGACCTTACGTGATCCAAAAGTGTCTGTGTACAGCATTAAAAGTTCCACTATTAAACAGCTGCACCGCTCGCCATAAAATCCACTGCCGTCCTATCTGGAAGCTGTTAAATATAGCCGGCTTCAGAAACTCTTGCTCGACAAGTAGATATTTCTCGTGCACACATCGCCCTTGTACTGAAGAGGTCTTAAACCTCTCGTGTCTGGTTGGCGGGAAACCATGGGAGGGAAGTTTTACACACAAACACACAGTACTCGACACATGCGACGCGTGCCGAAACCGGAATGCAAATGTTTTCGTAAACATTAGAATGATTCACAGTTTAACAAAACAAACGACCATAGGACCTTGGCGCACACAAGTTCTGCCTACAACATGGCTCTGGGCTGACAAGCTAAATGTGCCGTGGTTTTAGGTAGGTTGGTACATATACGTCCGCAATAAAGCACGAAGCAGAAATGTTCTCAGGCAAGATACGATAGCTGCAAAAAGTTTTTGCACAGTATGTATTCTGTCTTAGCTTGAATCGGTTTGCATACCGGTTTTAATGCGATATATGAAACAGTTCTCCTTTTCTACGATTACATGCTTCTTTGTAGCTAAAGCTAATTGGAATAAAGTCGCACGATGTATGGACATGTTTTGTCCGAGGTTATAAACAAATATGCCTATATGTAGCTCAGATTGAGTGAAAATAGGTATACCTAATCTTGTATATGCTTGTTCATATAAATAGGGATTGCAGCTGCACAGTTTTGCCTATTGCCCCTAATGATTCGATAGGCTTCTCAATTACTACGAAGTTCTTTTAGGATGCATACGCATCTAAGTGAATATACGAGATGTAAGCTGTTACCAGTCAACGCTGCTCGATTATGGACCCAGCAGCCAGATTTAAAAGCCCTTAGTGTTTAGTATCCAACGTAGCCTCGATAATTATAACAACATTGTATTTGTGATAAGTCTAATGCTCAATTATTTAACTTGGGATATGCGGTGAAGTAAAATACAGCAAACTTTCAACGAAAAATATATTATATCGTTGACATATCTCGTCGAGTTCAGAAGGCTCCTGCGCTGTGATATTTTGCCTATCTTTCGTTACGAGGTGGATAGGAAAATGTTGCCTAACACAAATGGAGTCATCTGGTGAATCTTATTTGAACGTGAGCCCGGTTTGCCCGCTTGGCCTGAACAGAAAGGGCTACTTGGCACGTATGCAAATACAACCGCGATCCTGTCCCAGCTCAGCTGCTCCTGTTCCTTAGAAAGTACACCTGACGCAGGCAGTTCTTCTTTAGTCGACTCTGGAAACTGCTATCGGGAACTTTAAGAAAATTATCAGTTTTTAAATTAGAACACTAGCCCATAGGCACATATGGGAGACAAATCAGGTCAGGCCTAAAATACGTTCTCCCATAAATTCATAATATCCTATGTTTCTACACTAGTGTGTGAGTGAGAAAGTATGTGTTCGTTCATTCTTGAATTTTTTCTGTAAAATAAAGTTTTCTAATGCAACGAAACAGTGCTTGAGTTTGCTGTTGTTTCTTTGGAAGATCTCGTTTCTGAAAATGCAATAAGCTATCTAACTAGCTGCGCTTATATTCAGTTGGAGATTTCAATTTCTATTCAGCCTTATCGCCAGAGCATGCTTAAACATTAGCCTTCACCATTTGTTCGGTTACCAAATGGTAATGAGGTGAATCATTAGTCGTTCGTGAAAAGTTTCTTACAGCCATCTAGCCACCATTTTTTATCTTAATTGTTTTTAAATACGTCCGCTATTTATCGCTTTTTGTTCTTTTCGTAATATTCCTCAGTAGTCACGCCATATCGGACGTAATTGGTATCGATTCACTTAGATACGTTATTTGGTAGTAAAGCTGAAGCACTTGAACACAGTTAACTATTGTTTGTCTGGTTTTCTTAGTCAAAAATACAAAGTAGACAACTTGTTAGAGGAAAGATTTGACTGACTAGCCTAAATGCACAATTTGCCATTAAAATACTTCGAATACTGCGTTATTTTCAAGGTTGTATTATGTACAGTACGGCCTCATCGTATAGGTTTTCATCATCATCGGCTACCAACGCGTTCTAGCGTCGCACCTCAAGCGATATGCAAACATTTCCTATTTTCTTCGCATTTTGACCTAAATTACTTGTAGACTTGCTGAATGAACGCCGTTATCCATTTTTTTTCCCTTCTTCGGTGTTGGGAGGATTCGTTGTTGAACAACTGCTGTTGTTGTTGTTGTTGTTGTTGTTGCAGGCGCCGGTTTCCGTTCACTTTATTCTGTCGCTGAGCTTCGCCGACTGACAGTACGGCGTCATGACATCGAAGCCACACAACACCAGCTACACGCCCCAGGTCTGGAGGCTTCGTACTCTCAGGTGACAATTAACTCTTATCTGGACTTAACATACATTCCCCCGTTAGTTAGCTCAAACCCCGTCTCGCTAAACCCTTGCGCCGACTACCGCTACGATGTTAGCGCTAATCGAAAGAGTCTACCCTAACCTAACGTAAAAGATTTCGGCTAGCTTTCGTCGGTTACTCTAACATTGACAACGATATTACGAAGTGAAAGATATGTATGGAAGTGTCCATTTCAGAAAACGGCAGACCATTCTGCTTATTATATTATTATTCTTTATCGTTGCGTCATCTCCATTCTGCGCTCTCTATTGTCATCTACGTCTATTGCAGTTCCCCGGACCACATACGGCGCGGTTTCGAGTGGAAGGAAAGAACTAAGGTCTGACGTCTGCAGTTTCGATGCTGCATTGTGGGCGTCTAAGTGGGCAAGAACCTTGTGTCGGCTAGTTTTTTTTTTTCTAGATTATCGACTGTCTATGGAGTCGTACATAATAAAAAGTTTTCTACCACCTCGATGCAAAATGTACCAGTTGCCAGCTAGACGAACCGTTCACTTTCATGACCTCTGATTCGCGGTGCAGCGGCTGCTGTCAGTATACTACATAACTTCGTGTGATAAGATTGTGCAACCGACTGCATGTTCGTCATAGTTACGGTAACAAATAGTAAAAAGGCAAAGCACAGGGTTTTGTGGCCTCCACTAACGAATAACCAAAAAGTTTTGCCCTACGCCCACGTGTGTAAGCTAAGATTCTTATTATTTGCTGCGCACGACATTCGCTCATAAGATTGGGGGGGGGGGGGGGGGGGGGGCAGAGAGTGAAAAAGAAGGGCCTCGTTCAACTGCAAGAAGAAAGAAATCCTCCGGAGCATTCGCCCTGTCTGTGAGCGGCGTATATATATAAAGGTATCAACATAGTTTCACTTCAGCGAAATAGGGCGGATCAACATTTAATATAAAGAAGAGACAAATGGTGCTTTGCAAAGCAGGGAAACAAGCAAAATTAGGATAGTATAACAGGTAGGGGGTGTGAAATAATACTTCTTATGTCTAGCATTTGTTCTTCTTACATATATCATCTTTGGGCTATCTAATGTTCTGTGCAATTGTTAATTTATGTTTTTATTTGACAGAACGGAAGCTTTGACAAGTAAGTGCAGATTCGGCGTGAGCAAGATGACTAAAGCAGCACATAATGAAGTTAGTTATCTTGATGCGTGTGTTTCCTGCAAAAACTGCTATATATAGATATATAAAGTAGGTGAAAATGTTTTCAAATATGAATTTTATAAATTCTCACTGCTCAAAGAAGAAATTAACAGAAGATAGATAAATACTGGCACAATTTTCTGTATGGCTCAAAGACAAATAGTATCTTAATACGCCTACTCTATCTATACCGACAAGAAGGCTATTTTAGCCATTATTATTATTTGATTGAAAATAGTTGTCAACGTATGTAAACAAGATATTGTGTTCTGCGTATAACGAAGCTGGTCAAAATGTCCGCCTTGTAAGTATTCAATACTTTACGGTTTGAATTAGTCGAAGTTAATCGAACGTTTTATGTTTGCAGCCTCACCAGGTGAAGATTTTTATTGTAAATCTACCTAGCCACTTTATACACGAGTAGGTGTTTGTTACCATGCCACAAAATGAACTTTAGTATCGGAGAAAGTACGTATGGAAAGATTAGATGGGTGTAAAGGATCGTCTCCATTAGAAATACTAATCGGCCTATAACTCTGATAAAATGAATCTTCATACCCTAGTTCTCTGCTAAACGCAAACTCTATTGGCTCAAAGTAGGGCATCAATGTGTTAAGAAACTCACTTGTTTTAAAAGGTGCTGCGGTGACTGAGACAGCGAAAACTTGCCAATGTAAGCAAGAAAACTTTATGACGACAATTCAACATTTATGCAACATTCGAGTTTATAGACAAAAAAACGATTTAAAAGATCAATAGGGATGATTCTAACTGGATGTAAGAGATTTCGCCATTTCATAAAGTGAATCCTCATAAATTGCATTGTTTCACAGTATTTAAATCATTATTCACATATATATATATATTATATTATAAATACACAGCCGTATGTGTTCTGGATGACATTGCCGCAGAATGCTTATTATGCCGTAAAACCCTGCCAGAAATCCGAATTTGAATATGAAATGGCCAAGGAATACGGCCAACTAAAACGTCTCTTCAATCTTTTTCGAAGTTCTTGCTCCACTATCAATCGTAGGAACATAAAGCGTACTCTACGAAAATTTTTCTAAGATCTATGGGACCGAAAAACTGGGGTTTACAGAACGAGTGCGGTCGAGCCACCACCGTACACGGTGGGTAAAACTACCTACCACAATCATTGGTTTGAGCTAACTCGGCTCAAACATGCTAGCAGATGGATACCCAATGCAGAGCAGATGCTGAACAGACTCGAACAACTGACTGTCGATTCTCACCAGGTGACACTAGTAAATGTGGCTGTATTCCTGACAAAATCATGTCAGATAGTAGCAATAATAATCAGGTTAAATAATAGCTGAAGTCTCAATATGCTTATCGCACTGGATGCAAGTTCAAAATAGTAATAGATAAGCTAGAGAGAAGAAACTGTCTGTGATGAACGTTGAATGAAATCGTGAAAGCTTTATCTAGTTGCATCTCGCAAAACACGAAAACACAATGGACATCTGAATAATCGTAGATCTTTTACATCTTCGAAGTTATGCGGGGTATGTTTCGCTCTGCGAGAAAAAATAACGCACTGCGTGTGAATATCAGATTTCTAAATGATAACTGAAGGTTGATTAATGAAAATATCGTCTAAATTCCAACCGTAGGTAAGACTGTATATGACTTTGTGCACATGTGATTTGCTAATTATGTTTTGCTCGTTAAATCGTACATAGATGGATTGCTTCGCCCTTGGCCCATCGATCTCGTTGGTCCGGGAACAAGATGTATTTCACGTCATCGAATCCATGGGAAATGATTACGCGGAGTTTGCGTACCTACAAAGGCCTGCTTGTGAAGGAAAGGTACGTTGGATTGCGCCCCTATTGCATGTGGGTCTGTTTCTTGTTTACCAAATTATTTCTCGATACTCATCTACTTCTGTATGCTTCCTCCGGCTATCTCTGGCAGAGGTCACGAAATCAAACAAATCGTAACGGACGTCCGTTTCCATTTTCGAATTGCTTGGCTATTCGCTTCCATACGACCTGACGATTTTTTCTCCTCTTATATTTATAAAATCATCTGTTAAGCATTTTAGCTACTGCTAGACAAGCTTCAAGAGGAAATGAAATTGGCCAGTATCTCTGAACACGTGGATCAGCATGCACGGACGCTTATTTCGACCTGGTGTCGCCAGGATCAGCTATACCATAAAGAGTTCCTTAGAGATGTACTGCGCGCATGGAATATCGACACAAAACTAGTTGTCGAACCGGGCATTAGGGATGACTTTTCCACGGTAAAAAACGACTGTTAACCACTAAGTTAATCTCACAATATGAAAAATATCCTTTACATCCCCAATGAACGTCCCGTTTTTCTGCCAACTACATGAAACAGTTTTACAAGGAAAATCGTTATAAAGAACAGTTTAACAGCCTTTGAACTCATTGAGCCTAGACTTTACTTAGACTATAATACGCTCTGCAGAGGCTACAACTGGGTGCAACGAAAGCCTGTTCTGGCAGATAATTTTGTGTCAGGTTATACTTAACGGTTAAGTATAGTTAACGGTAGTATAGTAGTAGTATAGTAGAGTTAACGGTTAACTCCCCAAATTACACAGTTACAAAGCAAATTGTGTAATATGACAATTATTATTGCGTAATTTCTCTAGGCAAAGATATTTCATCAATCTATTTTATTTTGACAATGCCATTAGTGGTAATGCCTATAGTGTTAACAAAGAAAAATCCTTTATTCTAAAACGAAATTTTTGTTGAAAACGTACGATGATACACAAACAACGTTGTGTATGGTATACACGTTACTGCTGCACTATGCTTGCGCTTGACTCTTGAGTTTTTTTCGAAATTACCTTCTCATTAAGGAGACTCCTTTTAAAGCCCAAGTCAACATTACTAAATCATAATCTAGGTGAGTCGCCAGCTGGAAAGACGGCTTGAGCTACTTCGTAAACATTTACCGGAACTTGAAAAGAAGATGGCATCGACTATCACTGAATTAACGCACGCTAGAGATCGGTGGAAAGAACAATTAGCAAATATACAACGAATAAAGGAGATTTATGAACAAATGGAAACAGAAAATGAGCAGCATGCCAAGCGAATCCAGGTGAAAAAACATTATCGCTGATAGAAAACAACTGGAACTCCCGAAAAAGGGCTAATACTTATACTCTACATTCATTAAGCAGCCATTGTTTTCAATAAATGTAAAAGGAACTTCATAATGAAGGTACTAATTGTGAGTAACCATCATAGCCCTCTTAGGTCTGTCAACTATCTGTAATCTATAAGTTAAAAAATACATTTCAGCCGAATGATTAACCAGTAGCCAAACAAAGACCGGAAAGTTTTCGCGTGAGTAATCTTAATCTCGCGACTATTTTGACCGAGTCCTTTCATATGGAATATAGGAGTTACTGGCGAAGAAAAGACGATTGGAGGTACGGATGCGCTACAAAGAGGTGGGAGGAAGCAAATTTCAGCGGGACAATGTACGCCCAGCGGGAACTGTGAGTTTTCCTCTAACTAATGAAACCTTTATAGAAGGACACGTTTCCTTAAGAAAGGGCTTAATCCGTGTGATGGTTAAGCCATTGTTTCCTAAAATGTTACAGAACGACAAACCGGTCGTATTGTTTAAGGCATGTTGTCTAAGCAGGTAATCAGCTTGCTGTTTTTTAAATGTTTCAAAAAGGAACGGCCGAGAATGCTTAATTAGATAAAAATAGTTAGACAATCTTGTCTAACCATTTTTATCTAAGATTTAAACCCGAGAGAGGCTATTATGTATGATATTTATCATGTTGTCATCTTATTATATCATATGTCATTTGGCCAAACTAAATTTAAAAACCGCACTAGTTATTACCGAATACCAGTAAATAGTAAAAAATTTCTACGGATGTGAAAAATACGCTATGGCAGGCGCTATTCATTTGAAATATTTTTTTCAAGAGTTGCATAGATCACTAATGCATTAACATGGTAACCTCTTTCGAGTTGTTTCGCTTTTCTGAATTCTAGTTTCGGCTCACATATGAAAGAAAAACCTTGTCTATTTGAAATACAATAATGCTGACAATAATGGACTAAGGTAACCAACTTTATAAATATAGGGCTGTACCTAAAGTAAATCTCTAATGATAATAATGATAACTTTGATAATGCATTTCAAGCTCAGCGAAATTATTCATAGATATTTGGTTTTTCAGATGACGTTTGCGGCGGCGCCAAGGACGGAGACCATAAAAATTAACTTAGGTATGATACCTAACTACCAAAACTAAAAGCTAGAAATTATCTCACTCTAGATACGTTAATATTCCGGAAGGATCTTCTTTAATCATTTTTACTAGGACAGTATTAACTTGATATTATAAATAAAATTAAGCGACAAAATAGGGGACTAAGACTCTTTTGATAATTTTAGAAGTTTTACCGTGTCTTGCCGTAACTTGTCGCTAGACATTTTTTTAAAATTTTTTTAAAATTTTTTTTTAACTATTTTTTTAAAAATTAGACAATTTTTGTGCTTTTGTATGTACAATGAGCAGTAAAACTTACGACAGCTGTTGGTTATACTTGAATGTTGGAGTTCTTGAATCTGAAACCTCTTCTTTAGAGAGAAACAAATTGTTGAAAACTGAGTAAGCTTACTTGTTTGCATCACAGACCATTGCAGAGCGATCCTGTTTTCAATGACGATAATTCTCCTTGCCGTGGCTATAGCGGCACACATTGTGCTGCCCCTATTGGAACGTGGGCCCCCGCGTACTATCGAAAATCTAAGTGAAACCTTGACTAATTTAAGCCAAGTATGAAGTGTGGAGTGCAAGTTTTTTTTTAAGTTGGGACTATTTAAATAAATTTCATGGGGACCTCTTGTCTTTGTCACCCGATCCACCTAGCCGGCATCGCAGTTCTGTACGCCTAAAGGCTTATCTTTGCCGCCAATAACGCGGTCATTTCGTTCTGTAGGGTTTTGCAAAAAGTGTGCAGTTTCCTGCCGATATCTATGTTCTATCTGATCTTTGTCCTACTTACGCTAAGGTATATATTTCATTTTGAGCATCTGGATCAGTTCCGGTAACGTATAATGCGAATATTAAATCGGGTGACGTGCTTTGATGATCTTCGATAGTTACTATCGAAGATCATCAAACTATGTGCCAAACAGTCACATCACCCCAGCACGTCATCCGATTTATATATATATATATTAGTACTATTTCCACTCTGCTGTCACTAAAGAGATGACTACTCCTACATATTATTTTTTTACCGCTGTCAAATCCCTGTGCAAAGAAACTGTACAGGTTCTTTGTAGAATTGTAGCTGTCGTACCAGTTTTCATACGTTTCCAGTAAAGACCATTCACCGTTGTGCTGCGCTCTACGTTTGTAAATATGCGACTTTGAACCATGGTTTTTTTATTTATCGCCTTCTAGAAAGGTTACTGTTCTCTGCCGCCGTTCATGGATGCATGCCTTTTTAGGCCAGAGGCAGTAACATTGGGACTAATAATTAATTATTCAGTTTTAATTTCCGTTATCCAGTGTCCCAGACAAATGTAATGCTGAGGCATCTGTCACCATCTTAGACATATCTGATCATCATGCCAATATGTCTAACACAATTACAATTCAGTCACATTGGTGATAGGTGGTATAGGTGAGTAGCAAATGGCTATGTTGTGAGGTTACTAACTTAAAATACGGTGGCTCTTGAGTAAGGATAAGGATAGACATGTCTTGGAATATCCTCGTAATTCAACCGAAGGTTTTCTTACTCTGCTCTTATCCTTTAAGCCACTATTGTATTTTCAAGACTTTGAATTTGGTCGTCTCAACACTACGCTTCTTAGGTCAGCTGTTTTTTTCAGAAATGAAGTCATCAACGGTTCTACTTTTTTTTTGTAGACATGAAGATACTGGTCTAAGACCATTCACACAGGTGTATAGAGAACAAAACGTTTTAGGAACTAAAATCACCTAGACTTTATTTTCTCAATGCTCCTCGTCTGTTTCTGCCTTAGCTAACCCATTAAATGACGAAACCTAGTTACTCATGAACATGAGAATTTTCCTCGCTAAAAAAATTATTATACGAGCAAGTATTCGTAACTAGTGCCCCTTTCCTGACTCGAGCTTCGATTGCTTTAGGTATTTTTCATACATTTCAATGTACTCCAGTTTCCGCTTTTCCCTTGTGGCGAAATACTTCGGGTATTGAGCCTTCTCCAGCGGATGCCAATAATCTAGTACCCAATCAGGAGGTTGGATGTAACGTTCGGAAGCAACACCTCCAGGAGAATTTGGAAATCTAGAAATTCAAAGACAAACCAAACAGAAGCGTCTATTTAGCTGGGAAAGCGATGCTAAGGCAGTAATTTTTAAAATCATGTCCTAACTCAGAAATCTAGGAACTATACCTTATAAAAGGGTCCTAAGAACTATCTTACAAGGTTTTTCGAAAGTGCCTTTATATCCGGGTCGCTAGTATTTGTCAATTGAGTTTACATTTCAATTCCAATTCTGAAAAACCAAAGGATTTCCAATTCACCAACAGCGCAAAACTTACATGCAATCTATAACAGAGAAAACTTATGTAAGAGCTGGAAGCTCTGTCAAAGTTCTGCTTGCTAAACCTGCTACGGGCTTCCAGCTCCAGAGTTTTGGTTTGACAGGGCGTGTCGTACCTCTTCATAATTAGTAATGACCGTATATACAACGGACGTAGGAGGCAAAAATAGCACGTACTTTTTGGGCAGATAATGCTGCTTAAGCCAGAGTTCCCGCTCACCGGCATCTAATAACTCTTTCGCTTTACGAAAATCCGTGATGTCCCTGTTTTTATCGAAGTCACGACGCAACAAACATGCATGGAATCTGTAATCAGAAAAGTATATACCATACATTCAAAATAGCTAAATATGAAAAAGTGTTGAACGAATATCATGTACGAACGACTTTCTCCAGTACTATTTTGTTTATATATGTCCATTTATTTGTACATTTTCAATTGAGTCAAGAGGGTTTAGGTATCCTCACAGAATACCTAATTTCCGAAAATAATTCATAGGAAACGCTATTCTGGCTTCTCGATTTTCTGTACTAAGTGTACCAAATAAATATAGAACTCACCTTACGAGAGTCAACCATGTTACATAAACAAGATATGTCCGTATACCCCTTATCTATACACTTAAATGGAATATCTACGTTGCAAATGGATGCTTCAGTTCTAACTGCTTTTTATTTGAGCTTCTTGTAACAACAGTTCTTCCACCGGAAGGCTGAATGGCTACTACTATTGTCTCCAAATAAACAATCTAGTTTACAAACAGCTGCTGGCAAGATTTCAGCTATTATTTATCATCATTTACTGAATTATGTTACCATTGACTTTTCCTTTAATATTTTGCATTATTAATATCCTGTACTGCCTGACCTCTACAGTTATCCACCTTGTTCGTACCTGTAATTAGGCCTATCACGATACCAGCATTCGAGGTTTCGTAGAGCGCGCTTGTACAACGAGCATATCGCCTGTTTATGAGAAATTGTATGAGTAACTAAATGTGGGAAGGACATCGTTTTGTCCTACAGCTGTTTGTGCAACCGCTTACAAATTATCATCTAATACAATGACAAACAATCGCTGGACAGCTTCAGCATAGTGTATTCGATTAGGTTGACGAGCTGTCCCTACGTAAAAGCATCGCTAGTACTCGGACCTCGGAAGAGCTCGACGTCCTTGCTTTGCGTAGAGTTGAGTTAGGCGCTTTTAGATGCCTCCGTGATATTAGCGGCGGCAGATATCGGTACCGACGAAAAATAATTTTTTTGTCGAGCGTTTTTTATTACTATTAATACTGGTAGTAGATAATTAGGAAGACAGTAAGTAAAAGTAACAAATTTATTTACTTCAATATATAGCCCTTTCCCTCTCTTAGTAGAAACCTTTGAAACGTTAGAACAAGGTGCGAATGCTAGTACAAGCAGTAGCAAAATTCACGCTGATTTTAATATTTTACATTTTCCTTGCATGCTTTAAAGAACCTTAACAGTAATAATGCTTTTACTATTATAGGTTAGATTTTGTCGGAGATAACATATTGAGTAAATACTGACGGAATCGTCCGAGCTTTTGTGGTGGGGTTGGAAAATACTCTCGGTAAAACTAAACATTTGCCGTGTTCAAAAGACATAATATTTAGAAACAAAAACAAAAATAAAGCTCCACTCAATCGGTCTAATATCTACTAATGCTGAAATTAGAATTAACTGCTGTATTTAACAAAGGCCAAAAACAGTACGTTATCGATCAGTAGTAGTGGATGGTTCGATTACGTTCGTTTAAACGTAATCTCTTCGAAACCACACGGAGTGCGATGGAGTGTCTTGATTCATGATATAGAAACAATGTTGTCTCACTACTGTAATTAGCACCGCTATAGATCATCAAAGATTTCGAGTGTGGCGAGAACTAAAGTCAAACAACTGTTGGCAATTGTGTGATTCTTCAACTTACGGTAGGTATGCCTCTTAATTATCTAATTATCATATATAATACACGGCGGCAAAAATATTACACTTTGTGAAGCTAGTAGATGCATATTAATTTTGAAACGGGTATATTAATCGAATAAATAAGTGGATATCAGTAAAAATCAATAATAAACTTAAACTTACCCTGACGCACCAATAAAGTGATTAATTAAATATGTTTTTTCCAAAAAAGCAATGCCGAGCCTGGCCAGGCAAGTGTGCATATCATCCTCATCGTGTACTGAAAAGCTGAAAAACTATTTTCTTATGTAATTATTGCATTGATTTGTTTCTTTATACGTATAGAAGTCGTGAAGGAGTATATATATATCATACTAATAATACCCAAACCAAGAACTCTCAATTCTACCTGCCTTAGGAACCTTAGGTGTCGTAAGAATGTCTCTGTACGATGACAGCGAAGTAGACAGCAAAGGTGTTGCTGGATGGTCCTCTGGCATTAAAATGCTCCAAAGCCATGTTCAGCTGCGAAAGGCAACAGGACACCATCTTCAGAGGAAAGGACAGGCTGCTGCTGCACACATCGCTCCTGTCCTTGATCTCAACACCCGAACTAAAGATGTGAGTGACTGGCCAGAGCGAAATGGTTTCCAACATGGCCAAACGATTCTTGCATACGGGAACTGTATACTTGACTCATAAGATGATACATAATAAGGAGCACAACATTTGTAGCTAATATAACGAGCGCCTGTATAATCGCACGCGCATATAAGATAACGCTTTGGCTTTCGCCTCTACGGTGCTCCTCCTTTTCACGGCGAGATGTACTGCTAATATACTGTATATGCTTCTAACATTTGAACGACTAACTGATATCAATGCGACTGCAGTTCTGGAATATATGGTTGGGATATTTTCGGTTTGCCAGGACGATGGCTGCTATGAAACATGTATATGACAAGATGTGTCGATTTGGGGTCTCCAATAATCACTATTTCTTTGTGTGTAGCCCAGTATTTCGTTTAACCAATATAATTAGCAATAAGAAATATTACGTAAGACTAAATGCTATGGATTTGCTGTCTAATAACTGCTGTGCAGCGCATTTCCGCGGAGGATATGCCACCAATTCCGCTGTACGTAGCGAGGGGCGGAGCATCACTTCTTGGTGGAGACTGGTTCCTCAAAGATGAGTATGACCCTTCGTACCCCAACGAATATGACCGACTGGTCAAACAGCTTCGGCGAGAGAGCAGAAAAGAGAAGCGTTCAGCACCGTCAGACTCCAGTTCAAACAGTGCAGGGTATACACATTTATTAAACAAACTTGTTTATATTAGACCACTTCTATTGAATATCCGTAAAGTTATGTAACCTTGGAGAAGCGTGATAGTTCTGATAATATTTTTTTGGCACCCGATATTCCTATTTTTTCTGGAAATATTGAGATAAAAACGTATTTTAATAGAAAAAAAATATGAGAAGCGTGTTCTGACATATTACATAACAGTGGTCGAAGGTCCTAACCAAGTTTCGTTTTCTGAAATACCTTTTCGTAGATTTTTTCTTTACGGCATTGTTTTAAACTATTCCTCTCTATCAAAATCCAGAAATTCAGCTTAACATATTTATAATATGAAAATAAATGCACCGGAAGCGTCAAAGTTTGATTAATTTCTTCTTGGTTTGTATAATACTATTTATTGCTATACTCCTTATTATCTGATACTTACAAAAGTCCCTCTTTCGACGTATGATATGTATGATGCAATTAAAATTTCAATACTAATACATCTGCAACAATGTATTTTGTGGCCTATTTGTGAGCAGGGACTCGCCAACGAATTCCGGCGGCAGCAGTGATCGAGCAAGTGCGCCCAAGCGTCAATCAGCGATGATAGCACCACCTCCATCACTCACAGCATCCGATCCTCCTGCGCGTGCCCTTTCACCGCCAGCACCACACCAACAGGGGGCTGTATCAGTGGCATCCAACATGGGTTGTTCATCGGTGGCAGCTAAAATCATGGCTCGTATGGGCTTTAAAGCTGGTCAAGGACTCGGTAAGAGCGAGCAAGGTATTTCGTCTGCGCTGGCCGTCGAGAAAACGAGTCATCGTGGTGGAAAAATTGTGGATATGAGCTCGGCGCAAGCTGCAGCAGCAGCAGCTGCAATGACTGATATGCCTCCACCATTAATGGCGCCACCAGGGTTACCTAGCGCGTCAACTGATAGCCAAGTGGGTACTGAATTCTAAGATTTAACTAGCATAGCTGATTAATATGTCTAATGGCAATCTTTTCGATCCATTGAGACCCTTTAAGCATTCTAAACATGTTATTATCAATGCTTTTAGGCTTTGCTTGACAATGGGCTGATGGGCCCTCCACCGCCGGGCGGTTTAATGGGACCCCCACCACCTCCGGGTCCATCAAGTGGAGCCATTCAGCCAGCTGCAGAGGAACAGAGCATCACTGAAATATTGAAGAACCCCACGAAAGTAGTGCTACTACGTAACATGGTAGGCCCGGGAGAGGTGGACGAGGAACTTGAACCAGAAACGAAGGAAGAATGTGGTCGTTATGGGGAAGTGGTAAGAGTGTTTTTGTCATTCTTAAAATCTTATGTCATGTATCTTAAGCTATCATCATTTTAAGTAATATATCCGTTATTTCTTGTTTGCTTTGTTTAGGTGAAGTGTGTGATACACGAGCTGCCTGGACCCGGTGTGAGCCCTGAAGAAGCAGTTCGCATTTTTGTTGAATACAAGAACCTAGCCCACGCTATCAAGGCTGTCGTCGATCTCAACGGGCGATTTTTCGGTGGACGGGTTGTACGGGCTGGATTTTACGAACAGGACAAATTTAATCGTCTTGAGCTAGTATAACAATGGCAACAACTTATGCATTTGCTAGCAACTGAAAAGCATGGATAAACAGTGTTTGAGAAATAATCATTTAACATTTTAATGATACTCCGGCACTGAAAGATGGTCCCTGCTAGTGTATATGTTAGTGTTATGAACGGGCGATTGTTCAAACGGAATATCTACTGCTCGGAGTGAACCTCGTAGCAACAAATTAATGTTACACATGACTACTTCGTCAAAAAGGGGTTAAGTCATTGTGTAGCAATTTTGTTTAAATATCAATGTTCACTTTGCAAAGATGTGAAGCATTTGTAATTAGTACGACAATTATTCCAATCAAAAATTCAACAACAAGCACCGAGGTGCTTACGATTTACATGTTCCAGTTATAGGAAAAGCACTGTTTTCTTCCTTGAACAACTATAACGTATACACGACGAGGGCTACATGTACATTAAATGAATGTGTTGTGCAACTAGCAAGTAAAACACGTTCTTCAATGGGCTATACAGATGACTCCTAAGAGACACTTCGTACAGTCTCGTTTAGATAAACGTTTGAGCTACTACAATATGATGCGTTATCTAGCTTGGACGCTGAGTTTATTAAAAAAGAACTAAACAGCGGAATTAGCCATAACGTGATTATCTTGCCACTAGAACATAAACGAGTAGACACTTAAATAATGCAGGAGAATTGAATGTCGTGATTATCGGCTTGAATTTGTAAATCGGGTGGAACCAGGTTGAAACTTCCATAGATAATCGTGGAGGCTAACACGAACCGTATGATGCTGTAAAATATATTCTCTTCGTTTTGTGAATGCCATTGATTAACCTGTAAAAGGCTAAAAACTTAAAAAATAAATGATTTTATTTGCTCGACGCGTGTTTTATTTCTCTATTACGGTAGAATGAAAAAAACCTGCGTGTTAACAAACTTCGTATCAACAATTGCAATGTCAAATTTACCGACTTATCATCTTATATTTTTCATATGTTTTTATTTGTGTCAGTATGTATTTTTTTGTCAATGCATTTGTTAAGCCATAATTGCTCATGCTTCAGACTAACGACAATTTGGTCGAGTTGTCCTTGTTTCGGTTTGAAGTGATTGAACGCAAAATACAAATACCCTGATGCTTTTGTATCAGATTCTTCAGGTAATTTGTACGCAGTTCTCAAAATGTTTCTCAGAATTGCCTGTTGGTGTTAAGGGGATGAAAAATTTAATGTGATGATTGTGAATAAGTACTAATATATGATACATAAAAAGTTAGTGTTAATTTCTTTTATTTTGAAATAAGTTTACGGTGATATATATATATATATATATATATATATATATATATATATATATATATATATATGTTTTGTTGTAACATAACTTGTTTATGTATATACAAAATACAGTCACAGAATTCCTCATATGCATAGCGTGTCATATTTCGGTCGCAATAACAGACCTCAAGTTTGCTGTATTATTATGAATATATGCATGCAGAGGTGATTGATGGTTCAAGGGCAATTGTATTCTGGAGATATTCAATAGTTGTGACAAATATAGGGAATATAAATTCAACAAAATCTGTGGTCAATTGGCGTGACGTTTATTGGGAAATATTCTCGCTTTGAATACAACTTCCTTCGTTTTCGTTTGCGTTTGTCAAATACAATGGTCATACATATAAATCAAACGTTCATTTCGTTAAACTAGGTGCAATATAAATCAGGGTAACTATTGTAATCGTTCAGCAGTTGGAAGTATAAGGACACACTTGGTAGATGAATGCGATGTCCTTGTGTTTATACTGAAGAAGTTAATCATCTGACGAAAGACTTTGGAGTACATCAACATCCTCAAAGTCGATAAAAAGTATCTTTCTTTTGAAGTGATCTTCGATAGCGGCAACATGCTCCTTTTCTTTGAGGTCGTCCGGGTTAATGAAATTAATTGCGACGCCGGTTTTACCGAAGCGGCCCGTACGTCCAATTCGATGGAGGTATGTCTCGAAGTCCGGCTGACCTTCACGGTTAAGCGGCAGGTCGTAATTGACGACCAGGGATACCTGATAATCAAAAACAAACGATGAACCTCATGATAAGACAAAAAAAGACTGCATAGAATAATAGCTCATTCGATACGACAATTACTTAGATGTAGGTGAGTTTGCTTGTTTTTAAGAAAACAAAACCTTTTCCACTGGGGGCCCACTAATTTCCCGAAGTATCGATACTGTACACTGTTTAGCATCTCTCCCTTCAAGCAAAATATACCCTATATCGTTTTCTTATTCTATACGACTATGTTTTAATGCTTCCAGTACGAATGCCTCTAGCCAGCATTCTCGAAATGACAAATACAGAAATAGCAGAATATGGATGGTAAACTATATGTTTCTTATCAATACTTCTCATTTCTTATTAGCGTTCCAGTAAACAAATTCGCTTGCCTGCTCAATGTCGATTCCTCTGGCGCATAAATTCGTGGTGACCATTACTTTTTCGAGACCGTTGCGGAATCGCTCGATCGCTTCAACTCGTTCCTCCATCGCAAGATCACCCATTAGGAGACATACATTCTGATCTAACTCCTGTAAAACAAGTATTTTGATATGAAAAACAAAGACATGTAGTTTATTAATCAATCTCTTTACTGGGTTGTAATAACGGCGCCTGTAAAAGGACTGTATTGTAAGATAAAAAAAAAAAAGCCTAGTTTATACTCTAACGGTCTGACTAGATATGTAAACAAGTCTATACCAACCTTCATCGATCTGGTGATTTTCACAGCTGACATTTTTGTTTGACAGAAAATAACGGCCTGACCGACTGGCAGCGTAGAATAGATATTCTCAAGAGCCCGCATCTTATCGTCTTCTGTAGGTGTATGCATAACAAACTGACGGATGTTTTCCAAAGACTCTTCTTCACGTTTCAATGTGATCTATAAAAGCATTCAATTCACGCACACAGTTCAACTTAGTAAGAAGGATGGTGCTAGTTATTAGGACATCCATAGTAATCTGAGTACGGCGTATTAATGTAATAACAACAGTATGCTTTAAGTTAGGATTCGAATAACAGGCCATGTAGTTTTCTTTTATATACCTCACTCAACAGTGTAAATAAAGCATCAAAAGAGAGAACAATGACTAGTCGACAAACAATACTTTAACAATAAGCAAAAGCAGAGAAAGTTCTATACGTATTTTGTTCATACCTTAATACAAGGTTCAGGAATGATCATATCCGCGAATTTCATAACTTCATCGTTATACGTAGCGGAAAACAGCATCATTTGGCACGAAGGGGAAAGGCGACTATGTAAGCGAATGCTTTGGTCGTGATGTCCTGTCTCCGAAATCATTACGTCCGCTTCATCAAGTACGAACACCTAGTGTAAAGAGTAATGAAATAAAAAAGTTAAAAAAAGTGGAAGATAACTAATATTATCTTTGTCTCCAAGGTGAGATTTGAAAAGCAATGATTTCGATGAAAATATACAGGAATCATGTAGTAAATAATATTTTAAACCAAAACACACCTTGATCTTAGAGACGTCAAAAAATTTTAATCGCCACGCCCAGTCGATCATTTTTCCTGGAGTTCCTATCACAATCTGTTCGGTAATCACCGTTCCCTCAGGCATCACCTAGAATCCAATCCGAAAACAAACTAAGGAGTGCTTATCACCACGTGCCTATTTCAACGCAAAAATAGCGGTCGCCTAACCATGTGACTTAAATACATGTTGAGTATGAAGTAATACTGTAACATTGTCTAAGAACGAGTCTTACGGAATATAGCCTACCAAGGAGTACTCAATACTATTTATTCCAAAAGCACAATAGTCTTTGCAGACGATTTGACGTTAGTGGTCACCGCTAAAACCGAGAAGAACCCTTAAAAAGGATGTTGAATAAGCACTATGAACTGCAACTTTCGTAATGTATGCGTAACGCTATTGCATATATTACGCACGCATTTGTTATGTCTACATAAGGACAACGCGTTTGGCAATCCTAACGGACCAGACCTTCCAAATTATCAAAAATCCCAAACATACGTTCTGCTAATTCTCACCTGTCCGCGTACTGCAAATTTGACCTCAATTTTTGGGCAAAACTGCAGCATCTGACGACAGACGTCAGCGGTTTGTTTGGCCAGCTCAAAAGTCGGGTTCAAAATGAGTATCTGTGGGTGACGCAAATTTTCATCCACTCGACTCAATGACGCCAACAGAAATGTAGCGGTCTTCCCTGTACCGGATTGTGACTGCGCAATCATATTGATGGGAGGATCCGCCATAAGAGTTGGAAGAGCTGTTTCTTGGATTTTTGACGGTTTTTGAAAGTTCATTTTGTAGATGGCGCGAAGAAATTCATCGCGCAATTTGAGCTCTTCAAACGTATGAACGGAGTAAAGTGGCGAGTTAGGATCTGACCGCTGAATTTCGATCTCATTTTTGCTTTCCAGTAGTTTTGAGCGAAGGAGCTTTTTCATATACGAAACCTCGCTTTGTGACACCTCCCTGCAAAAACGTGGAAAATTAGTTGATGTGGCGTTACATGAAAAATAGCACTGGTGACACTGCTCTAAGTGAGGTATGCTGGACTTGGAATACAATGTACACTGCAAAACGACATGAAATAATACGGCGCCACGAATTAGAAGTAATAGAATAGCAGCATATATTTACAAAAAAAAAAAAAACAAAAAAACGCCCAACGAATTCTTTCAACTTTAAACCGCTTTAGGTCATTGTTGTAGTTTGCTATGTTTATTAACCGTATTGCTGCATTATTTGTATCACTGCTGTATTAACTATTTTTATTGTGGGTCTTTTAGCTATGTCATTGCCCTATCAAACCTTAGAATACAAAATAATTATTTGACTGGATTCCCCCCATTTTTCTTATATTATTCACAATAGCTATAATTCGGGAAACTATATTGACATGGAAGTAAACATAATGGAACACAACATGCGCAGCGCTTTCACAGCCGAAAAATGGAAGCGCCATAGGTAGTGTATCAATGTGCGTGTTTACGTAGAACCTGCTACACATTATCCAAAATGCTAATATATACCAAAGTAAAATTATGGTCGCGCGTAAACTAAACTCGTTGTTAGAGGGGTACATACAGAGTACCTAAAAGGACCAGCTTGACTGAGGTATTATCATCCCGAGATCGAAGCTAGAGGCATGCTTTGGCGGCTCAAAACAGAAAAACCATTTCTGTTCTGATGTAGCGAATAGTTAAATATTAGCTTTTCTACTCACTTTTCGACGTTGGGATCATCGCCCGCGCCAGCCAGCGTTCCGCCCGCCTCTTTATTGAGTTTGGCTGTCTCTAGCTTGTTTTGCGAGCCGGTCTTGGTCTCTGACGACTTCTCCCTGTTGGCAGAAGAAGTGGCTGTGTCGACCTTTGGTTCGCCGCCGGCTTCTGACATGTTTGCTGCTGTTCGGCTTTATGGGACAGCCAAACCACAAATAATTAAACAAGTACTTTTACACAAACTATAGCAGCTGCAAATGCTTTTATGGGTTAGCTTGTGACAACTAATACAACCCAGATGGCTCGCGAATCTGCACCACTGAGATACGAGCCGATTGAGGCACCCGGTCTAGCTTTCAGGCGGGGCTGAGTGTTGCACGCCGGCGCTGAGTAGCTGATCATTGGAGCGAATAAACGCATTTTTGTTTACATGGCTTCTAGGGGTAGCGGCTGTACCCAAGGGAAGGGCAACGCTAAGCCAAAGAGAAGGTAGAAGCAAATGAGTATTGCAAAAGCGGGAGAACATTGCAAAACGTACAATAGAAAGAACGGATAATGCAATCTAGAGCTGACTTTCAGTCTTTGTTTAGGCAAACAACAATGATTGCGGGTGTTCCGATTTTAGTACAGTACACATTACATTTGCTCGAACGAGGAACGATTAAATCATATCGCCACTTTGAAGGTTTAGATCTGGTTTTCTAAACAGAACTCGACAGGACTGTGAAGTATGTTGTTGCATTAAGGACGGAATTAGGAGAGTTTAATATAGCTTATGCCTAGTGGCGAGTAAGTCAAGCCATGAGTATGTATCGTTAAACGTTTTCTTCGCAGTTGATGACAATGAATGAACACTAGTTGATAGTTCCTTGAAGCCCGTCTATTGTCATTTCTGCTAAACGAGTTCGTATAGATGATCCGTGTTCGAAAACAGCCTATTAAAGCTTTCAAACTTGACCAAATTTCAGAATTCAAAAAGAAATAGCGGAAGGATGCCCAATAGAACGAAAACGACAAATGTCTGATAACAATAAGAATTACATCAAATGTGATTACGTTACACCCATCACAACATAATTAAGCTTCATGATAAAATAAATTACACACATCTGCTTGCACGATCTTGCGCCCTGTGCACGTTAAGCACAAACGATGTTATATAATGATTGCTACTTCCAAGTTGAATCATTATCTAGGATTTTGAACTATGATGCAAAAGTAGATCTCTTTGTAAACATCGCCTACCATTCTTTAGTAAAAATCAAGCCGAACATATTTTAATCACCAGACATTGTGTAGCGATGCGTAATTTGTTTGCTTGATCAATATTCACTAATTGACAACTCACAAATCGGCGAATTTCCAGATTTGAGCTTAGTGTTAACCATACACTTATTTGTGCAAGAATTCCTAGTCTGTTTTATGTGCGAAATGCACGATTTTTACACGCGTTCCCTTACAGGCTCATCAAATATGATGTGCTGACATCAACACATTATTTCGGGTCAGAGAGAATTTGCTCTGTGTTGCATTATATTTAAACCAATAAAACAACAATGGTGCCGTTACACTCGGAAAAGGCATAGAAGAAAAAAGAAGAAATCGGTATTATGATTATTAGGCGTGTATTGTAAGTTACACGTTAGCTTTATACCATGCCACCTAAGCATCCTTGAAATCCTTAGGCCTTTTTCGGCCAAATGTGAATTGTCTACTATTAACTCTTTAGTAAAGGTCGAACAACACAGTGAACACTATCGCCAACTTTTTAATAGTACCTTATATAAGACCTGCAAGAAGCAAAGAAGGGTTTTTTGTCACTCCTGAACAAGGTCTGGACTAAGACTGAGCAACTGCTTTACCTTTATCGCCTATTTTGTTGGTCGATACTGTACCAAAGTCAGCCATGCAATATCGCAGCGTTTTTTGTCACTTCAATGATTTCGTCTCACAAGCGATTTCATCCTAGTTTATTTAGCTCTGATTATTGTCATTCTCGTGTTTGCAGGCTTTACGCTACACATCCCTTGTGCGGTCTTCGATGAATTTTGACCAAATTGAAGACGAGAAACGTGGAGCTTAGTAAGATAAAACATTGCCAAACTAACCAATAGACTTATTATTATAAGTCAGCAAACTTCCATTATGTTGTATAAAGGCGTCTTGACGTCGATAATTCTAAGACCCGCCGGAAGCACACTGAAAGAAGTTCAATTCGGCGGCTAAAATTTAAACATTCGGTCCGCATCCATTTAATGTTATCGGGGCATGACTTAGGTATCGATAGAGTCAACAGCCTTCTTCTACGCCTACTACTAACTCACGTTTTTAGAGGGGATTTTACTTGTCAGAAACTCTCAAAGCACGACTCTAGACGATCAGATATTTGTTCTGCCTAAGAAAGGTTTGTCCTGGATAATTTCGGGTGTCGACCATTCTACATTAAACGCCTTTCAATCTTCATTACACCGAAATTTGCAATTTCTAGACGACCGCTGGACCCAACAACGATGCTGGACGATTTGAGGTCACCATATTATTTTTAATATGAAAATAAGACATTCGAGCTCCTATATGCTCAGCCTATGTATGTATTTTCGCATACGCTCAGGACAGTCTTTTGTGTAAAGCATCATTTAGTTGGCTTAGTCGAGGCAGTATTCTATGATCATGAAATAGTTGGGATAATTTTCGCATACTTCTATAAAGCAGATCAGATCTGGATGGCAGAGTTACGTTATCGAACTCGTTCACCCGTTTTACAGTGACGAATTCATCTTTGTGGATGCCACGACACGCAGCACCTTATGCATCTGAGCCACTCAACGAAAGATTACAATTACGTGAAATTTCGGAGAAATTAATAGTTTCTGTTTTCAGTGGGCATAACTACGTGAACAAACGTCGGAACTAATGTTTTGAGCCCGATAAATCCAAACATCGAATTTGTACTGTAGACAAAAAAAAATGTACAGCTTGTTGCATTATATATTGCGCTGAAAGCCCTATGTCCGAATCAGGTAGCTCCTCGATACCTACGTCGGTATCAAGTAATTTTTTTGTCAGTCAAATCATTAACGGAGCTCAGTGATGAAGTTGAAGACTAAGACTTGTAAGCTTCGTCACTCTAACTTGGACTCCTTTAAACGATTTACAGATGCTAGCTTTAGTCTCAGGTCGAAGCAAACAAAGATGCTAATAAACTACTGTATACAACACTTGGCATCATTGACCGCGGTTCGGGTGTCCATGAATGTTCAAACGCTCCACTTAAGGCCATAGCCTAAATGCCATAGTGCGTTTGGACTCATGCATGATGAACCCTATCAGTTACAAGGCCTGCCGGTGTATGAAACACATGGATGATTTAAAACATAATACTCATGGGATCACTTTAGGCGTAATTCTAAATAGAGAAAATATCGTTTCAAATGTCAAAAATTTATTTTGGCAAATAAAGGCTATAAGCACCTTTATTTTGCCGATTCTTGTTAGCTCAAGATATGGCTGACTGTGACGCTTCTCATATTAACGTTGAAAAGTCCTATAATGTAGAGGGTACTCCCTGTAAGCCTAACGAATGAACTGTTACGTACAAGTAATGGAAAATGAAAAAAATTTAATTTTCATTATACCTATTTTGCAGTCCACGAAATATACGCTAGACACAACCATTGTGAATTCGCGTATACGGTCTCGTCAAAAATTATCTACTTAGTGTCATATATGTAAAATTTAGACGCTAATAATAGCTTGTCGAAGAAATACTGACCGCTTTTCTAGTTAGATGCTAGGCTTCAAAGTCACACATCTCAGATCGTATGAATTGCGTCGGATCGGCGTTGGTTTCGTTCGAAAATTTTGGAAAGTAACTTAATAGTATTATTAGATATGCTGAAATTGTAGGAATGTTTTCATGCAGACTAAAGATAGAGTGAAATTTTTGCTAAAAATCGTTATATTTTACCCTTTTACTACGATATAGCTACAAATTCTACCCAGGAATGAAAAAAAAGCGTACTGCTTATGGTCAGAAATAGTTCTGTCGAATACGTTTCGTAAATTTCGACGCTAAAGACGCTTCTCGTGAGGGCTTAACCAATGACGGAAAAAGCTGTTGAAATTATTGCAAAAGTTGAGCAGAAGCAACATATAAGTAATTATGACATTACCAGTGTACTGAGCACCCATTATCAAACAATTTTTAAATTATAAGAAAAAAACTAACTGTCACAAAAGCTCGATAACTGAGTGGCACGCGGATTAATGCAAAACAATTTATTCGACTGTACCTCGATCTGCGAAACTCCACAGAAACACAATGATCTTGAGCCTTTTCTAGAACGATTGATAACGAGAACATAATGTGCAAAGAAAATTATACAAAAATTCACTCCAAACAAAAATTTGTGGGATAGCTTAGACTGACACCAAAAAAGATGATGCTGTGTGTTTGATGGAATTGGAAAGGAGTCGTGCATTACGAATCGCTACTGCCTGGCGAAATGATCGACCCGCACCCTTTACTATCGACAACTAACAGGGTTACAACAACCCATTGGAAAATATCGAACTATGATCGAAATATGAACAGAACATATGTAGCTACCCATCAAAAACTGAGAGAACTTGGGTAAAAAACTTTAGTACAGCCGCTGTATATCACGGACCATACAAATCAAACTACCATCTGCTACGGTCTACGCTAAACTCCCTCAATGGTAATTCAGTTTCAGTAAAACGATACAAAGATTACTACTTGTCAGGCCCAGAAACCGCAGAAATTCTACAGTGATGGAATTAGGCTGTTACCAGGAAAATGGCGGAAACCATAAATCAAAATCGCATAATTTAGATTAGTGTGACTTTTACTTTAAGATATTTTTTTAATTTGCTTCAGTTCTGGCTTAAAAACGATCAGTGTTTTTTCCGCAGGTCTATACTTGGCAATATGACAGAATTTATTTACTATGGTCGATTACACAACATTTCTTTTGGCAAGACATTTCGGAAAGCTCAAAACTAATGTTTGCCTGGACAAGTTTAAGTCCTGGATTTTTTTTCTAGCGATGCACCTAGGGACATCAGGACTACTCGGCAACCCTACTCGGCAAGAATGATTCATCACATTGGAGAATAAAATGGATTCCGCCTCGAACGAACCAACTCGATTTCGTTGAGACAACTAACAAGGAATATATGACACCGAGATTGAGCTCCGCTCTCTATCAGCAAGGATCCGGATTTAAACAACAGATTCACACGAGAGGTGGCCAATGTTTACTGGAAGATAGCGGTAAATGTCACACCCCACGTCTCCTACGTCTTTGACATACACATAGCTTATTTAGTTCATTAAAATTTCGGATTATGCATAATTTGAGATGAAAACCACGCACTGCGTACTAAAGTAGCGCGTGCCTCGTGCGATTTACCTTCCCAGATAGTAAGCCACGCACCAAAGGCGAAGGAAGGTAGCAGAAAGCATACCCGTTTTTTGATATTTTTGATGAATGAAGGCGTCCCTGCGAATAAATAAGCTAGTCAGTTTTGTGCCGTGCCGTGGACTCTTGAAACACGTTTCAACCTACATGTTTTGAATCAGTCTTATTTGCTTTAAGTTTAGTATTTAAAGGTCTTCTCATGTGCTGCCTACGCCATAGCCAGCAGCTGGTCATTGAGGCCTAACGGGCTATCTGATGGTCGATATCGTTACTATGGTCCTTTTACACCTATCTGCAATGTGTGAAGATAAAGAACTAATGACTATACCTCATCGACACCGTTTCCATTACGTCACATGTCTGCTGCATTAAGAAATTACTACCTTTGTAGATAAGCAGTTCATCAAATTTACAAGATTACACTGACATTGGCCCTTGACTTATTCTTGGCACGTCCAGAGAGCAATAACAAATCACAAGGCCGCTCCAATATTTTTAAATCAGTACCGATCGATATATAAATTGTAGCTAACACGTCTATTTGTCTACGTCTATTTGTTTCCATACCTAAATTGGAGTCGTACTAGGAGTGTCGGCGAAAAATTCTGCTAGAGTGTGACGAAACGATTACTGTTGACATCTCGCTGATTAAATTATGGATAGCACATTATTGCTAGGAAAAAGTCTAGATACAGATTGACAGCTTATTGGGCCTTCCTTAGGTACAAAACACAAAGGTTTGGCCTAAATATACGTAATCACAATGCTAATGTAGCTCGCATTTACAAGCCAGCGGCCGACCGCTTAAAAACTGATTGTCTCTACGTTATTAAACAGAACAAAAGGAGTAAATGTACTCAAACATAGAAAACATTATTACGGAAAAACGATTACTAGTAAAATGTCTCGCCCTCAACCCATCCACCCGGGTTGTTGCGAAGGATGTATCGGCGAACCTCATCAAATACAAAAATCACTAGTGCAAACGGTAGTCCATAGAACCACCAAAGTGCATTCAGGGGATACATCCTTAAAGCTTTGTCCATACCGGGGCAGTATGTTAGGAAGGCAGCGAACACCGTTTCGAATAGCAGGCTAAAGTTCAATACGTGGTTGCGCATTCCCTGGTGGATAAGCGAATTGCGTCGAGTCTTGCAGATAATCAAATCGGCCCATTGTACAACGACAATTGTTACAAAAAAGGCCGTGTGACAGGTGTATTCAAGTGCCTTACGCTTAGGGAAGGTCCACTCTTGACCATACGAATCCTCAAGGTCATTTACGTGTTTCGCATCCCACTGCTTGCGGATGCCTATTAGACGCGACGGCCAAAATCCATTTTCACCCATTATGCAGAAATACGAGTAAAAACCAGCTGCTGCTTGAATCATGCCAATCTGTCCATAAGCCATTGAAATCAACCTTTCGTTAACTAGTCGATCTCGTTGGGCATTTCGCGGAGCACGTGTCATGATATCAGACTCGGCTTGTTCGTAGGCAAGCGAAATAGCTGGAACCAAGTCAGTACCGAGATCGATGAAAAGTATCGTAAATGTACCCAGAGCAAGGGGCATGCTTATAACGATGAAAAATAGGAACGGTGTTACTTCGGGAATATTCGACGTAAGTGTATACGCAATCGACTTTTTCAAGTTGTCAAAAATTATTCGACCTTCCTCAACCCCCGTGACAATCGAGGCAAAATTGTCATCGAGAAGAATCATATCAGCGGCCTGTTTTGATACGTCCGATCCTGTAATGCCCATTGCAATACCGATATCCGCCTTCTTCAGCGCTGGCGAGTCGTTTACGCCGTCGCCTGTTACAGCCACCACGTGCCCTTGCCGTTGGCAACTCTCAACAATGATCAGCTTCTGCTGGGGAGATGTACGAGCAAATACGAGCTCGTCGAAACGATTTATAATCGTATCAAGTTCCTCATTGGTCATCGTACGAAGTTTTTCGCCATGGATAACAGCGGCATCTGCTTCTAGGGGGTCTAACTCATTGATGGGTATTTCGTACCTCTCAGCTATATCTTCGATCGTTTCATTGTCAGCAGAGATTATTCCGACTGCTCTAGCGATAGCTCTTGCTGTGATTGGGTGATCACCGGTTACCATGATGACCTTAATTCCAGCCGATCGGCATTTGGCAACAGCATTTGGGACAGCAGCACGAGGAGGGTCAACCATCGAAACGAGACCGAGAAAACGAAGGTTCGTTAGAGGAAAGTTCTCTTTCTCACTATTAAACTTATAACCTTTAGGGTATTTGCGGGCACGCAGCTCGTAATCGCAGACGCCAAGCACACGCTCTCCATAAGAGCCCAGGGTTTTGTAAGTGTTTTGAAAGGCCGACCTGGCAGCATGGTCTAGAATAACTTCCTCGCCATTGATAACAATCGATGAACAGCGTTCGATAATTCTTTCAGGAGCACCTTTCATGCAGAGGCTGTAAGTAATATAATCCGATTCATTTGAAGTGTTGTTAATTACGGGCAGATCGGCGCTGTGTGGCTCATGAATGGTAACGTGGTACTTATTGCTCGAATTGAATGGTACTTCATAAACCATGCGATTACGTTTTCGGTAGCCCGCCACGTCACCAACACTTTGTTCCATACACTTGAGTATCGCTTGTTCAGATGCATCACCTGTGCAGTCCCGTTTGAGTATCGGTACATTTTCCTGTCCAGGCTTAAATTCTGCTCGCGAACATAACATGCAAGCGCGAGTAAGTAATCGCCACGTAACTGATGCGTTGTCGTATCTCATGCCGACACCCGACTCTCTCGTGTCGGAGTCTATGATCTTGTAGTCGAGCCACATATGCGACACAGTCATACGATTTTGCGTCAACGTGCCGGTTTTGTCCGAGCAGATGGTTGAGGTCGAGCCGAGAGTTTCAACAGCTTCCAAGTTTTTTACAAGGCAATTTTTGGCAGCCATCCGTTGAGCAGTGAGCGTTAAGCACACTGTTACCGTTGCCAGAAGGCCCTCGGGTACGTTTGCAACGATGATTCCTATCAGGAAGACAATCGCGTCCAACCAAAAATAGCCCATGCTTAAGGCAATGATAGAAAAAGTTATCCCGAGAGCGATGGCAAACGTGCTAATGATGTGAATAAAATGTGCTATCTCGCGACCGATCGGAGTTTGGTTTGTCTGAAGACCTTCGGCCAAATTGGCGATTCGTCCTACAACTGTGCGGTCGCCGGTGTAAATCACTACACCTCGTCCAACTCCTTCCAAGCAATTTGTCGAAAAGAACACGATGTTTTTAGCCTCCAATGGATTTGGATTCATCATCTTAACACTGGCGGGCTGTGGTTCCGATTCGCCTGTGATTGAAGAGTTGTCTACCTTGAGGCTGGTGCACTCTATAATCCGTAAGTCTGCCGGAACTCTGTCACCGCCTTTTATTTCGACAATATCTCCGACGACTAATTCTTCTGCAAGAATCTGTAACTTCTGACCATCCCTGACAACCATAGCATGCTGCGGAATCATCTTTTTAAATGATTCCATAATTTTCGACGAGCTTGATTCCTGATAGTATGAGAAAGCGCTAGATATAATCACGACAGATGCTAAAACGACTCCGAGATAGAAATTATCTTTGGCTGATGCTACAGGCGAATTCATCTCCTGTATCGTATAAGCTATAAAGCATAATATCGCCCCTGCCCAAAGAAGCAGGGAAAACCCTCCAAAAAGGTGATGAAAAAATTTTACCCATTCTGATGTCTTCTTCGGTGGAGTCAGTGTATTAAGGCCGTCTCTTTTTAAGCGTTGCTTCGCTGCCTTAGCGCTTAAGCCAGTTGCTGGGTTAGTTCCTAGTCTCTGATACAGTTTTTCCAGAGCAATCTTGTGCTCATCCATTTCCAGCTCCTTTTTGAGATATTCAATGTTTCTTTTGTCATCTTTATCCTTCTCTTTATGCCTCTGAACCTTTGCCGACTCAGCCGAAAACCTCGAGTTACTGGCGCCAGGCTTGTTTCCGCCGTTGTTTTGGGCGGTAGAATTCCTCGAAGGCTGATTCTGAACCTTGTCACGGTTCGGAGACTTCTCGGCTCTTTCATAGCGGGTGCCAGGCCTCTTGATAGGTTGTCCGACTTTGGCCTTGCCTTTGCCACCGCTTAGCAAGTCTACGTTATTAATGCATGTGGTCGAATCGAGTTCAGTTAGAGGACTCGTCGAGGAAGTCGAAATGTTCGAAGACCTTTCGCTCATTGCACCCTACGCGTTGCGAGACTGAGCGAATTTAAAAAAGCGTACAAAACATTATCATAGATTATTCTAGTTTATTACACCCGTGCACTGAGACGACACCACGCGATATAGGGATGAACGAACAAACTTTATGCTTCGACAGAAACTATCCCTGTTATCTGAAAAACAGCTTTGCCCTGCGAAATTCACGTTGTTTATACTCGGTGATGAGTGAACGTATTCATAATGAATTGTAACGCACTCAAGCTAGCAGGCGATTTTTAGCTTAATGAGAAAAACTACCAAACGAGAAATACCGATTTAGGCTCTCTCTACGCGAGAAAGGCGCTGTCAAAGCAGACGACGAAATCTATTTCTCGAAACAGGGGCTCACACTGTCTAACTCTTATTTACCGAAAACAGTTAACAAAGTATACAACACAGATCTCTAGGCGCAGAAATTATATTGACTTACGTCAATTTTCTGCTTGTACCCTGTCATTATCTTATATATATATATATATATATATATTATTATGCATTATAGTTTATTATGCATATTTCGACAGAAATGCCTCATCGGCTTCCTGTAATTTTAAAATATATATTGAGTAAAAATAGAAGTTTTAAAATTACAGGAAGCCGATGAGGCATTTCTGTCGAAATATGCATAATAAACTTGTGATTCAGATTTAGGGAAAAGAGGTAGGAAATAAGTCGATTTCGTTGTTTTCGGTATTAACGTCCTCAAGAGATGTATATTTGTAATAGCTACTGTGTTTGAAGACTGCGGTAACGCAAACAATAGAAAAACGAGATTTCATGGTATCATCGAAATGAAAACGCTTGCTTACCAATAGTACAATCGATAATAATGTATGGCAAGCCAGCAGGTCCCTTTCAAGGAACAAGGCTCAGAGCAGCTTGGGTCAATGTATTCGGTACATAACGCACGATGCATACTGCTAGTTCACTGTAAGGGTTTTTGGTACTAGAGTGTGGAACCTGTGTACTCAAACTAATACATTTTGAAGATCTGTTTATGAAAATTCGAGGGTTCTTGTCTCGTAGAATTTAACTCATTTATAACGGTTCAGGTTCCCCTTGAAGAAGAACTGCGTATACCATTATTAGCACTTTTAGAAGATAACACGTATCGATCGTATTACTTTCAAATAACAAACGCTTGAAAAGAATAGAATATACGGTTTTAATTATAAGCAGTCATTTCGATTTTTCAAGTACCCTGTACCTACCTAACATCACACTCTTCTAAATGCTACTTGGCCTAATTTATGAGTATTTTTTTCTGACGTGTTTACCTGTTGACTATCATTGGATCTGGATAGATAAAGGTACGAAGAGGAGGCTAATGAAGAACCACATACGAGTAAAACTAGAAAATGATCACTCGATTAAGTACAATTACCTTGTACAGTGCTTTGGTAGATTATTTTGAAGTAAGTAACGGCTATAATTTCTCCATAGCACAGCTTGAATCCATGCATTATAAATCGTTCGGCCTATTTGCTGAGACGCCAATCCCGAGAAAAACAGTCGGGAAGCCTTTTTGCTTTGGCCTATTGTCCAATACCTGATCAAAGAAGCCACGATATCTACTCAATCGATAAACGCCGCACCACTATGTCAAATAACGCACGATGAATTGTCACAACGGCTAACTTTGCATTTGGTTGCCTGATAAAAGAGACGCTAGCATCGGAAATTGGCATTTTCGCACGGTTGATTTCGTACTACTATTATTATTATTCGTATTATTATATACGAATTATATATTATAAGCGAATATAATAGGCATGAGCCTCTTAAAATGCTACTTAAATAATCTCTATCTATTTTAGAAAATATTCTACGAGTGGATTAAATCTCGGGGAAACAAAAGTGAAGCTATCATTGAGATAAAACACTATCTACAAGTGTTTCAAGCAATCGCTATATTTTCTATTTCGAAATAACTGACACGGCATTCCATTATTAAAAAGCCAATTGTGCGTTACTGTTACGTTTTCGATGTTATTATCTAAGTCCGGCGGGTAAATTGTTCATTTAGCCGTTCTAAATCAAGCCGAAACCATCAAAGGACTTCTGGCCGAAGTCTATGGCTCTATGCCTAGCCGAAGATAGATTACTTCGAACGGACACGATGCAACCTATAATCCTTGTGATGGGACCTTAGGGAATTTAATTATCTTCGACCTACAAGAAAACAATTTTCGGAATCCTTTAGGAGGATACTTCTTTGCGATGGTCGCCTTTAACAAATACTTGCACTTACGTATTTATATTGGGTTTAGGTAACCGGCTACAACATTATCTCAATACGCTTAAGCGAGCATGTCAAATTGCTGTGGGCAATGCACAAGGTCTTGTCAGTAGATGTCTACTGCTACTAGAGATTAACGGGGCGTTCACTACAGAACGGCAGTTCCGTGCCCACTTCGAGGTGTCGGCAATGGTGGACCTGAGCACCATTCGTCCTTCTCGGAGTTGTACACCTCCATCGATGTGAGAAACTGGTTTCCATTGAATCCACCTTGTTGTCAAGAAAAACATATCTCAGAATAGTACTATTATGAGTTTACCTCTGTAACTGACATCGCAAATGCACAACATTAATAAGATCTGGTGTTATATAAATTCGAGACGGAAGATATAGAAATGGTACTACTGCGTAGGCAAGCTAAAATACGTTGAAGTTTTGACTCGTCTACCTGCTTTCCAAGAACGTACGCGACATGCTTCGCCGTTCACTCTACCTCCACATGAGAACATCTTTTACAAAGGCCTTTTAAATCCTAGCACATTTAGTGGCAACAGCTGACGCTGGACTGGACTAATTCTGGTGGGATGGGAAGAAAGAAGCACCCCACTTGTGTTGCCATGAGAAATATATCCTCTACACAAAAATTATGCTTACCGATAGCGTATAATTTCGAAGCCATTGCAACAACGCTCATAGCACTTCTGGGCTCAATGAGTGAACCCACACTTTGCCACTCGTCTGTCTCTGTACTATATCTCTCCACCTGATTTAATTGAAGAATACACATAACATCGACAAACGTTTAATGGTCTTCTAACTTTAGATTCATTTGGATTAATTAGCGGATGCCCAGGCACGCGGTAAGGGTGTTTCTGGCCGAAGAAAACACTGATAAAGCTACAGTTACAGAATATCCATAGGTCCAGTCAATAGATAACACAAGAGAGGGTGTGAATAGAATATTTTTTGTATAGTGATAAAAAAAAAAAAACAAAAAACTACCACTATAATAAGCAGGAAAAATAAGCGAATTTTGTGTTGCTGACCTTGCTTACTTGGGTGTTTTCGCATCCCCCGATAGCAAATACGTATGGTCCTAAACTTGCAGCTCCTGGAACGCACAATTAATAAAAGCTAATATTAATTAAATATTACGAATTATCGTGTTTCCATGTTGACGCCAGGCGATAAATATGAAACTGTTACAATTGTCTCTTGATGTGTTTGTGTGGTAATGTGTGTTGAACTTATTTTTAAGTTCAAAGCGTCTTGCTCTCGAAGCCAGCCGCCTGAAGCAGCAATAGCAAATCCTCGCTATTCACAACGTTACAGGCCATCTATGATCACAAGGTGAACTTTTTATTTCGGTATGGCTTTTACGATCTCTGAAATCTCCTAGGCTTTTTTTACGTATATAGATCAACTTATCCAGAGCTATTTGGTCGATAGCAATATTAGAACACTTTTTCATCTAGCAGATTTACGCAATGATTTTGGTTATTTATAGTTATTAGAACAATGTTAGTGGAGTAACAACAAAAAACTAGAAGCGATGATATCGTTCATTGCAGAATATTAACGTTTAATAATTAAGCAGGATGTAATCCAAGGATGAAAACGCTTGGTACAAAGGCCGTCAGCGAAACAGCAGCTTGTTACTAGTACAATCACTTCAAAAATGGAAATTGGGAGACTGAAGGCCGCGCGGAAAAGGCGACTATAGCAGAAGTCCTCAAACAAAAAAAGCAAGCCGATTTGAAGCGTTTAAGGTAAGCAGAGCATTGACAATGCCCTCATTTTCGGCTTAATATGGGTTTACTGATTTATTAAACTGTAACAAAAACACTTAAAAGCAAAGTCTTGTCCATTTAGTTCTTTACAGACCGATTCCAGCATAGGTAGACACACTCTAATTTGTTAAACTATTACTAATGAATGTCCTATCGTCGATTCTGTCAAATAAACCATTGACAATCAAATGAGATATGGTAATGCAAAACAAAGTACACAACTACTGAGAAGCTTTAGAACGCTGACTTCAATGTCTAGATTTAAAGGGGACTACATCTTAGAAACAAGCAAGGAGCCATTAGTTTAATACGCATCATAGAAAAAGCTGTGTTCATCGATGTTTTCTTGCCTAGCCCGCTTCGAGGATCAGGTAGCGGTCTAAGAGACGTCCACTGGTCGATTTGGGGATCGTACACCTCCATCGCGTCTAGCTTTTCCGTTCCGCTGCATCCACCTAGAGACAGAAAGATATAAGTGGTTACAAATCTATTATTTAATGTAACGCTATACCGACTATTATAGGGCTATTTTTTTTTCATTTTTATAAATACATTCTTATAGTAATGTTATGCTTTGACAACTTGCTGAGAAATAATCGGATGGACAGAGAATGTTGCCAACAGCTGACTATAGACGTAACGGCGAGTCCTCCTACTCTTAGATTACGTGTAATGCTGGACTGTCCGTATAGCCAAAGATGATAATAACGAGAATTTTGCAAGTGAAGCGGAAGAGATGATACGCCGAGCGGTACGACAAGATGGAAGTGCCGCTATGCTAAGTACTTGAACGTTGGAAAAATCACAGCCATATTTCTTTTTTTCTGGTCCTAGCTATTTTATTTTCAATTGATGTATGGTAGTCACTTATTGGTTCAGCTGCTGTAGAAGTCTTAGGTAAGAGAGTCTCATCGAAAGACAATTTTGACACTATGCTAAGATTTAAACAACGTTCCTCTTAAGAAATTGTCGAAACTTTGAAAAGAAATTGGAGGAGCTACCTGTAGCAAACAGATGACGGAAAGACACCGTGATTTTTTGTGGTCTGGGCTCGGCCCTTATCGTATGATACGAAAAGATTTTAGTCTCCGTCTACTGAAACTCAGTACTGCAGTAACGAAGTTTCCTTTATCGTTAGCAGTATATTACGGTCGTATAAAATTTTTCAGGACACGCGAAGCTCTAGTGGCCAGAACTTATTTTAGGCCACCAAAGAGATCCCATGGGTTATTGAATCTATACGTTTCCTAAACGGTGATATCTCACAGATTTAGTGTGATTCACCTATTGACCGTTTATGATTATCATAATGGATTACCAGTCACGAATTGGTGAGTCTCTGTTGTGTTGTGACAGCAAAGAGGAATAAATGTGTCTGGAACTTATGTTTTTTTCATACTCGCTTCGAATTAGACCAAATGAATAAGTATGGTGTTTTTAGACAGCCTGGAACTAGATGGTAATAGCCATGCAACCGGTTGACTACCACCACAGCTCTCAATTCTGCGTTATTAGGGGACTTCCATGAGGCTCATTTCCGGGTTCAACACTTCCATTTCGGAATTTTTCGAGCCAGGGCCTCATCGTGCTTCCAGTCCTTTATCGAATTTAGAGAGCAAACTATCCCTGCCGCTGTCATTGCAAAACTTATCAATTATTGGAGATTTCCATGGAAGTTCACTTGCTGAAGAAATGACAATACCCGACTGACCGGTTCCAAGTTCCAAAAGTGCAAGTGTGTCGCGAATACAAACACTGTTACAAAACATTGTTGTACTTCATGAGACTATAAAGATGACATTAATGTTTATCTTATTTCTTATTGTTATAATATATATATATAAGGTCGTCGATATTCGCTCTCCCCTTAAGTAGTAAGTAGTACGATTCCCAAAATATAAGGTAACTCAGATCGACATATTGCTAGCTTACGAGCTATATATATGTATATATATATATATATATATATATAGCATGGACACAATACGAACCGATGAGAGGAAACGAAAAAATACTGATCTTGTGCTTACCATCTGTGTAGTGTAAGACACACAAGTCAAACGAACCATGGTATGTGATCGAAATCGCCGAATCGAACAAATACAATTAAATGGCCGTACCAGTTTATGCTTAAGGGTATAAAGGAGTTACGACAGATGGGGTAATATGTTCTCACTAACCGATTACGTAGATCTTGCCGTTACAGACCGTGCAGCCGTGGCCCGAACGTGCAACATTCATTGGCGCAACGTACCTCCAACTGTTCGTAAGAGGGCTATACCTAGATAAGAGGCATTTGACAAAAACAGTTACCATTTTGGCATATTCATAGCCTTTCCAGGGAAATGTTCGCGGGCCAACGAGATATGGAGGGATTACCATTTGAAACATATGCAATCTAAACTACACAAACATAAACATCCTCTAAGTGTCTGTTAAATTGAATTTAGTTGCTTGAGTGTAATCGACCCACCCTCAGGGATTTTTCATACTTTCTACTACGCTCACGATGGTCAGCGATTTCGTCACTGAAATAATTGTTGCCATGACCATACGAGTTGCAGGGCTTCTCTGACAATTCTTCCATTTTGCATCAAAAACGTTTACCTGCACGGATCCCATTAATCCTTGTGTACACTATAGTGGCGCTCACCTTTCGACTGTGTTAAGGATCGTCCTTTGCTGAGAACCGCCTGTAACATAAATGTATCCGTCAAGGGACACCGCTCCCAGACGATTTCGAGGTGTTCGCAACGATGGGCCTTCCTTTATCCCACGAGGCATGTGTAAAACAAAGGAGAAATGCATAAATCTGCGGAATACATGCATACGATGCATGTACGTTCGTAGGTGACATTTCATGGCATCAATTTATTGTTCTATTTCATCTAGCAGCGATTTGCGTTATTATTATATCATAGGTTAGATATTTTTCCGCAAACATAATATAAGCATTAGGTTCTGCGTACAACGATAAGAATAGTTCTGCTCGTTCCACTAAGACACAGTACCGTCCAACAGTTTTGTTCGATGTCGAAAATGTGTACGAAGGGAGTGTCCTCCACAGGGACGTCGCTATTTCTGTGATGTGCCCGACCACCTAACGCAAACAGGCTGTCAATATACAGATCACAAATCTAGCTTGTTAGTTAACCAAACGTACACCGAAATGATGGCTTCCGTTCTAATAGTTCCGGATACGTAGTGGTCCCTATAGTAGCTTTTTACCATTACCACGTCATGCATCTACACCAGAGAGTTGTTTCTTTATTATTAGTTAATTAATTCAGTGTGTAGAATCGACTTTTAACCTTGCCTCTTCTGCCCAGCGACAACAAAACCTTATCATGCGCGTCGCAAATGCGTATATAGCACCTCGGGAACGTGCGCTGTTTCATTATAAACCGGCTACGACCTGGAGTTACTAAAGGCAACACGATGCTAGCAATTAAAGGTTTTTTTGATAAACTCATAGAGAAACGTTCGCCGTGGGTGTAAGTCATGGCCTGACGGACACTTACTTTAAGAGTAAAATTCTTTGTTATATCTATATCTACTATATCTCATCATATAATCTAGAGTCAAGAAGATGAAGAAACCAACCGCTTTTCGAGTGCGACAACAGCTAGACCTGAACGAGCAGCAGGCAAGTTCGGCTGTGAAATCCAGGAGCCGTCAGCTGCATTAAAAACCTCAAAATTAGGCAGCGAAGAAATATGGTAACCTCCGATGACGTAAAGAACCGACGAACAAGTGGACGAACCACGAGGCGGTGGAACACGGTAAAAAAACTTTTTACGATTCAATTCCTATGAGCCCAGAAAGAAAAAAAGAACTATGAATGTAAATCATAGATGTTTGAAAGTAATGACCATATGCTATTGAACCAATTCAATTTGCTAGCAATGCTCCTGGAAGCACAAGGGCTAATTCGGCTTATTATTAGACAAGAAATCTGAACGGTGATCCCACGATTACAAGCTTGCAGAGTCAGACCCACAAAGTGCATCGTTAGCAGAATGGAAAATCAAGCTTAGTAAAAACTTTATCACAATAATAAGCCACTGGGCTGCATAACCCAATCCAGCAAAAAGCATTGTTTATGTAACCAGTTCCCGTTTAAACTAAGTTCATTGTCCGCAGAGTATATTGACAACGACAATCGCTAGATCGCGGTGTACACATATAGCAGTGTATTTATCAATACGACAAAGTTAATTTTTCTATTCCTATCTTCTGGTGTTTATTTATACCTTTACAATATTCTGGAGGTAGTCGACACATTCTGGCCTTTCTTGAATGAGGGGACAGGTCCGGATGACCTCTTCAAGATACTCTACCGAAGAAAAGCTGCTTCGTAAAACCTGCAGGATCAATCGTAGTGAGCCCTTCCGACCACTTATATCGTGGCGTATCCACCTGTTGTATATGAACACTTGTAAGATATGGGTCCTACCAACAATTGTCCTGTTCTATTAAAGGAAATAACTGATCATTGTTGTATCGCCTACGATCAAAGCTCATATTAACGTTACTAGGATATCGATCAAGACTTGACGCACGGTAAAAATTATATAATAGATAATAGCGATATTATATAACAGAAAACACATTGACTGAAACGACTTTGGGGTGCAACTTGTAAAAAATAAGTGTTCCAAATATGATCGGCGTCGTTAACTCGGTCATACTCATTGTGACATCAATATCCGATAGGGTGCACGATGAATGATAATCAATTCTATTCGCTAAAAAACCTGCAGCTTGGTACCTTTTTTTCTCATGGTAAAACAAATAACAGAGTCAATAGATTGTTATACGAAGCATTAGCTTGTTAGAGATCAGCACTAAATATGACGACCGACATATTACTATCATATCGCTCTTGAGATAAGTATGTGGCGACGTTTACCCCCCTCGCTGCTGCAAACCTTTTTAAAACTGCCCCCAGTTTACTAACCTGAGACACGCCTCAAGGAGCAAAGCATCATTACGGACGCTGAAATTGTCATTCTTGATAATGTGTAACATTTCGCAGAGCTGCATTTCAAGGAACTCATCATTTTGGCACACCTAAAAAGGAAACATTGTTCTTTAGTCAGTCGATGGCGTTCCTGGTTAGAGAATCTCGTGCACTCATTGTATTGTCAGCTCAATATTGGAAAAGTGGTGCTCAATGGGGATAGGTCCACGAGTCAAAGCTCGCGAACACAATATTAGCTATTCGACTTGTTCAGCGTCCCCTGAAATTGGAAGCAGTAGTAGAAACAGAAAAATATTGATAAGAGTTCTGGTAGAAGAGTGTTCAAACACTTAGATTTATGGCGTACTGCGCCGGCAAACGGCTTTTACAGTGATCTGAATAGTTAGAATTTTACGTTCAGGATCGCGTTAGAGTTGCACGTGTACTATTTTCCAGGAAGAATTCGTGAAGATAAAAAAAAATGATGCTCTTTCAATTCGCTTTGTTTCTTACCATTTGTAGCCCCCATCTTTCGGCTCACCTTCTACTTGCCTTTTCGAAATGTTCATAGATGTATGCTTCAGCTTTGTGTTGCAGTTTGCGAAGGCTGTGTTGTCCGGAGAATCGAAATATTCCAATACAGTTGCATGGATCCAATTGGCCCTCCAGGTAACGCGCACAAGCTTCGGTTACCTCGCGTATCTGAGTAGAACAGCGTGCACTATGAATACTATCAGTTTTAGGTAGCGTTCTGGTGTTTCGAGCAAATGCGATGTTACGATGATGTCTTTTGTTTTAACACGTTTGCTCATTAACTCTGATGATAATGACATTATCACTGAAAGACGCTGTAAGAAGAGGTTCACTCAACGCTATGCCCTCAACGCGATTGGTGGCCGTCGCTTCATAGACACTAGCTAGTACTATTACTGACTATAGTTAAATACGCCATCCAGTGATAACTCTTGTCTGCGATCCAACTTACTCACCTGTAGCATATTTCCTGCCGCAAGCAGCTCACAAACATTATCGTCGTTGAGCATTCGCACCTGCGGAAAACACCAATGAACGTCCCGCTGCATACGCATGATGATATCTTGTAAAGCAGCCTTTTCTAAAATAAATTTCGTACTAGAAAAGCGTTTCGGACTCGTAGAAAAAAAAGGCAGCATTTATCTACAATAATAGACACAACTGGCATACAATAGGCCTTTTTGATGATTTTAAGCACATTAACGGCGGACGGTAACATCGACCGTCAACTTCCATTCTTTGCTTTCTAGCAACGTACGTTGATAGTTTCGAAAATCATCTCAGCACACCGTAATGTGCTCAATTAGGTACCTCAGATCTCACGTCTTGGATTGTTAACGGGTCCAATTCGTTCTTCTGACGAGCCCTGATAAATTTATCTCATTGAAATTCTGGCCGCCGCCTAACTTGCTGCTACTGCCTGGCCCGTAGCTCTCTCCAGGCGAACTCGAAGCAGTGAGGTCTCCAGCAAATACCAGCAGGACGCAACGCTTATGCTCTATCACTATAATAGTGGAATTTACCCTGCCCCTTCAAAATATGGGTCCATATGCCGGACGATCTACCCTTAAAAAGCACTGTCAAGTTCAGTTGAAGGCCTACAAGGGCAAAAAGTGGACACGAGCAAAGCTCATAAGTTGGATCATACTATTGTGATCAGAGAAAATGGTACTCAACATAGATGTTAGAGCATCTGTTAGCTTGATGACAATATTGTACATTGGAGATTACAGATTTATCACATACGGTCCATGGAATTTCGACTCGTCAGACTATGCATTCACTTAGACAAGATGATCGGGAAAACGTTGTGTTATTTTTATGCGTATGTCTGAACCAGGCGGCTTGATCTGCATACTGCAGTCTCATTAGGAGTTAAGTGAACTTGATCAGTTCACTTAGATTAGTTCTTCAAGAGATCAGTATCTTCTGGCCGCAGGTCTTTTTAGCCGGATGGTAAGATTGCAGCTATAGAAATTGAACTAGATACATACGGGTGGACGTTGGAAGCGATTCGGTACAACCTTTTACCAGAACACGCCTAGCGTTACTCCTTGTATTTTTGTTTTAGAGGTGATAGACGCTAAAACTAGGTTTTCCGCCAAGCAAGAATAGAGCATCGTAAGAACAGTACGACGTGATTTTCGTATGGGCACAACTATTAACGTATGACTAATACATTGGTGAAGCGAGACCTCGTTCCAACTCAGCTTCTGCCATATCACTGGGGTCGTTTTAAGCCAAACTTATGTATGTTGAAACAGCAAAACATTAAAAGCTTACCTGCCCTGAGTATGCAAATTTGAGAATCTGCAGCATGATTATTTTGCTCAAGCCCTTTATCTGTATCCTTTCTTTTGAAGCATCTTCGAATCTCGAGGTAAACATTGCACGAAAATAGGGACTTGCCGCGGCCAAGACTACCCTGAACGAACAACATTGATTGGGCCAAATGAGAAACACGTAGTGATCATATTTATACAGTTACAATAGAAAAAAAAAACACGTAGCTTTTTTGGGCAAATATTCTACCCATAATAAGCATGTATCAAAAAAAATTAATCAGAATCGCTTTCAATTCTCTAGAAGCTTCATTGATAGCTTTGAATTTTCGTACGCACAGTTTTCAGTATTACGGCCATTTCATTAGTAATTTAATTCACCGAAGTCGCTGCAAGAACGTCAGTACTAGTCTTACTACTAGTCAGACCTTCCAATAAAGTCGACTCAAAGCTTCCCTGATTTTAATGCAGTGTTTAATTCCAGATCTAGCTCATCTTCTATGTTAAGCTATACAATCATAATCCCGTTTGTGTGCCTCTGCCGAGAAATTTCTATAAAACCTTTAACGTTTTTGTTCTTTTGGAACATTTCCGACTTTCTGATCATGTTAACAAATTTCCGAAATCACTTCTAAAAGATATACATGAAGAATTTACTCCGGTAGAAGGTCTCTACTACCCTCAATAGAAACGTCTTGTGCAGACTTCTCCGGGTGTTTTGCCATAGATTTCTAAGACGGCATGGCAAGCATTCGCCAACGCTGCAATCTACGCCAGTATATCTTTGAAGCTGCAAATGCGGTTCTGATCTCTAAATATGTTACACAAGTACCATGTTCCGAAGCAGTATCTGCTTTGAATTCTTGTCGACGGTCACCGTCAATCGTACAACGTAATTTATTAGGATAACTTCAATGATCAACCTTAAAACGATGAAGGCAAACTTCAAAGTGGGATAGTTGTAACTGGTGTTAATGTAACTTGATGTGAGCGATACCTGTGAGCACGGATGGGTGTGGTATCGTCTTCAAGCTGAATTTCAACATCGCACATTTTCTCTTGGACCCAGTATGTGTGCATGACACTTAAAGACCTTGTCGGAAAATCCTGAAAGCCAACAACGACATTAAGTCTATAACTATTCGCCATAAAACTTCGTACAAACGACTATACTTTTCTAAACTTAACCCGGCACATAGCAGCGCCCGCCATTTTGCTATCTCAATAGCGATGCGGTCGGAACAGTTCGGTCGAAAATATAGTACAAGAGCAAATACGATTAGTAAAAACTAGAGCTTCTTGTCTTCTGAAGAGATATAGGTATAGTTCGCTTTGTTCGCTACAAAAGCAATTCGAGTCTGTTAGATGGTATACGTTAGCCTCTATAGTGCGTATTTCTGCCGCGGGCTTCGGTCCCGATACAGCAAGAGTGCCATAGACGTTGGAGCTTCGACAATTTTTCGATTATTTCCAATGAGTAATAACTATACCGGACAAGAACAAGTGCTATAGTAATGAGAACTACATTGGTCAATAATGCTATCAATCGTTGACGGTAACGTTGATTTACTGTTACGGTGTTGTAATTTCCAGCTAAGTACTGTCGATAAGCAGTCCTATAATCGAAAAACGTCATTTTAACTTACGTGCGCAGCGACTGCTGGCACGGATTCGTATGGACCTTATGAGATATTAGTACGAAGTGAAATGGAGACCAGATTAGTTAGTACTCGATCTTTACTTTGTCTATCTCTGTTTTAGTTTGCCGAACCCTACATGGACAATTTAGAAACGATGCCCTTGATGTAATAAATCCGTTATTTTCAACATTATTGAGAGGCTTAGTGCTTTAACATGTGCAGATATTCACAAACGTTCTACCGAAGTTACAGCTTGCCACGATTTTGGCGAGCTCAACAGGTTCCCGTTTGCACACAGTAGCAGACGATAAACTAACGCACACAAATCTTCGACATCATAAACTTAATTTCGTTCTTAAAGTTGGATTAACATAGAAATGGATTCGCTTGTACGTGTAGATACCGAAAAATGTTCCTTAGTTAATCAAGTAGGTGACATTTATAGAGTTCTAGCGTTCGGGCCCGCGTAGTACGGCAGTTTGTACTCCTTCAGGATCAACTAAACCAAGCCGGCATGCGTTTAAGCGTCTTCGCTGTCCTAAACTATCCTCTTTCTATTTAACTTTAGGGAAAGTAGAGCTGATCGACTTGATGTGACTGTTTTTAAGGAACGCTCCGTCGACAAGTTAGGTCGGGTCAATCTTCAAATGCAACTCCCGCTACAATAACTACTCGTTAACCCATCTAATAGTAAAAATTATTCGATTGTTATTATTAATCATCAGCCGATAAAACGGCACGTTAATAATCCACTAAGTAAGTGACAAGAAACACTTATAAGAAAAACTATAAGTTTGTGGCTCATGCACTCACTGGACGTTTAACGAAAAAGTTGAGCTACGTTAGTAGCAAACTGCGGGATCACATTCGTCGTATGATGCAGATCGTAACGATAAAACTATGAGACCGCAGCTATCCGTGCTACACTTCCCACGCTACAGTGTGTTTATTGATTCTCTATTAAAGGAATATTTATTATATGTACTATACCTTATTACGAACTGCATGACAGGACGAAGTAGCTTACCCCACCGACTGCTTTCCTCTATCTCTATAGAACATCATGTTGCCTGCTGCATTTCTTCCGTCAGCGGCAATTTAACCTGTTGCCAAAACGCTAAATCATTTCCCCGCTAAAAAAACACGAAGTAAATAGTAGTTTTTTTTAGCCATTCGAAAATACGAAAGAGCGGTTAACGTAAGCGCACAAAAGGGTTCAATATTGCCAAAATAACTTAACTAATAGATACAATCAATAAAAAAGATACTTGGCACGGTACAAATCAAATGTACTGAACTGAAAAATGTTATTTTCATAGTTCCTTTAGGCGATTTAGCGTTTATAGGTGAGCTGCGCCGTAGGCGGCAAGGCCAAGCCACGGCATCGCACTATTAGTCTCAGGCCGAACATTTTCAACACCGAAATTATCAGTTGCGTTTGTTCACATATTCTAGCGGTTACAGATCTTTCATAGCTTATTAAGACCCGTATAAGACGACTGTTATTATATTTTAGCTCCTCTTCGGTTCGAGTCACATCGATACTGGTTAGCTAGCGAAAATTGATTCTGCCAGAATAACAGCTGGCACCACTGGAAGAAAAGAGTTTAATTATAGTAGATCAAGACCCATCTAGTATATGCATAAGGGTCCATACTTTACTCAATACAACTGACGAGTCACGATAATCCTTTCTCATGACGATATCGTTCACAACTTGAGTCAAGTTTCTATCTACGGCCTACAACACACTTGCCGATCTCAGAGAAGTTTTAATAAATACTGTTTTTGGATTATGACACACACTGCTGAAAGTATATTCATGTCCAAGACTATTTTACCTTATATGAGTAATATACAACCCCAGGCAAAGAATTTGACCCAGAGGCACCACTCGGCGACGCTCGAACCTCATCCACTTCGAGATCACACCTCGGCGTGTCCAGATCCAAGAAGTGCTCGCTTGATGTACTCATCTTTGGGCACCTATCAATTTATCTTACAGCAATTCCTTGACAAATTGTCAAGATAAATTTTTGTTAGATACTGATCGAAGTGTCACAGTATCTTTTAATCCGGAGACTTCTGTTGCTCACAAAGCGAATACTATATCGTTTGCGCAACAGGCTTGATATGTTTGGGTAGTGCTAACTATAATGACAGCATAATTGGCTTCGATGGTTTACGGAGACAGTTATCAGCACCAATAGCTTTTGCAATACGTTTTATGCCCCTTTGCTTTGGCCAGCGCGCTTCGCTTGAATCCGCGGGCAATCCATCCAGCAGATAAGTAAGTTACAAGTCAAAATGCCTCCACTATGCACCACTGTGACCACTAGTAAAGTGCGCTTAAAAAACGCAAGTATGGTACGTTGTGTTTGGCTTTAAAAAGTAATCTATTCCATTCTGGACAAAGGCGCCTACTGATCTCGCTAACTGATGTGGCTACCAGCATTTACCTGGAATTTAGGTACGGCCGTCTTTTTTAGTGAGCGATTGCTATCCCTCTCGAAACGACAAATGTATCCGTAATTACGACACCCAGTCGCTGATTTGCAAACGTCGTCTATTTCCGATCCCGAATGCGTTCGCTCATCTAGCAGCGTGCCATTAAACACAAAATGACTGAATAACCACAGAATAGACAAACAGTCACATTGCGATTCGCTTGCATCCTAGCGTACCACAGTAACCTCCTCGGGCAGACCCTGTTCAATGAATGAATACACACACGCACACACAAGTACTATTAGGCCAACGATAGCGTAGGACCGAAAACGACAGTTTTAAGGAGGTCCGTTTGGGTAGGACTCGTCTTAACACACACAGCTGTCCTCATAAGCCACTGTAGAAGCCATCTATATACACCGTTGATGTTGAAAACCATGCACACTTTAACGGGCGACTACCGAATTTTTACGCGAACCTGCCGATCGTTACGGGAAAGACGTATGCTAGCAACACTGCTGATGAGAGCAGCTCAACTGTTGATTACAGCGATTAGGAGATAAAGACGACGTTGAAGAGACTCCGTTCGAAGCTTCCTGTATGTCCTCTTTCTCAGATCTGCGTACTCTCAGATTCCAATGATTCCGTTGCTACCGAAGGCAGTATGACATCTGGGACTTCACTATCTAGCGGTCGGCCCAACCGATTTCTTTTTCCACTGTGGCGTATCTTACATATGGTAGAAAGTATGTCGTTGTTGTTGTCGTGCTCAAGCTTACCGATGGCTTAAGCGTTGCGTCGCTAGCTGACCCTTTGCCTGGCTTCCTACCTGCGCTCTAGTTGTTAGTGGAATCTGTAGCGGTAGCAACGGCGAACATATCTCTGCTTTTCAATGACAACGTAGAAGAGATGATCGAGCAACTCTCAACGAGGCACTCCTCATTTGTTACCATAAGTTCACGCGTCAGTGGCAGACGGCAGCGTCCGTGCCATTGGAACTGCTTAGGGAATGAACAACATTGTCATTCCCCCGATAAACGCCAACTGTGTGTTTTCGTTCCAGCTATCTTCCCCTTGCCCTAGCGTGGCTCGACGCCTAACGCGGCAACAATAAGTCGTAGGCTGCTACAGCTGCTGTTGCCGTAACGGCTGTGACCGGTGCGGCAAAACACGTTGGATTTTCGTGAAAAGGAGAAGCAAGTCATTATTGAACGAGCGTAGCGGTTCGTTCGGGGTCTTAGTGGAGCAGTCTTAAACGTCTTGAATTGAACATCTCGCTGTGCGACAGTCATCATCGCCGTTACCGTAGCAGTATCTGTGAAAGCACTGACAGCCGCCATCGTCACGAGCGCCACAAGGCGTACCCGCTCAACGCCATGTGTACACAATGTAGCCGAATAGATGTGAGATCTAAAATGCTTCAGGATTCTTCCCGCGTACGACCAGTCTGCCCGGCTTCAGTGTTTATACGTGGGACTACCACACTGACTGAATGAAAAGCCCAGTGGTGACCGCGCACATGTCAAATCTCATGTGCCTAAAGTTAAACGCAATATGCATCGAGCCACGTCGCCATTCCCTATCGGGATTACCTGATTCTCAAACAGAATCGAAGACTGTGTTGATTACTTCATTGAAGCCTCTCTAAGCGACACTTAGAGGCTGGTGATCGTGAGTTTGCATGACAAAGCATCATTTTGACCTTGGACCAAGTAAGGGTCCTATTACGCTAGCACTCCTTTCTCAGGCTGATACAGTCCAATCTACTGCATGCTTGTGGGTAAATCACCAGTTCTCCGTATAAAAATGTTGCTCGAAAATACTCGTCGTTACAATAAAGATTACAAGAAATATGCGTTATATATATTTTATGCAAAGGAAGTGCCTCGCATCAGTCATTCTATACGAACAAGATACCTTCACTACACTGTGCTAATCACAACATTTTATCAGTAGCAGGCGTTCAATGTATACTTGTGGCAAAGGTCTTATACTACATAAAAGAGATTTGAAAATGTAAAAACCTAGTGAATATGAGCTACTTCGTCGTGGATATACAGCGATAGAGAGAAGTTTTAGTGCTCGTATCCCGCTCGATGATCGTTTGACTGTTTGTTTGTCATTGTTGAGTTTTTAAGAAGGTATACGTCCGGTTTTAATGATCAATGCTAAATACGTTCTTTTCAGTTTACCGACGGCCTGGATTGATTCAAAACCCATAATCATGCAAGCTCTAGATACACAGCCCTTGACATTGTTGCTGTTCTCCGCATCATGACGTCTCACTCCGGATAAAAGCTTTGTTTACGGAAGGATCTTCGATTTTTTTTTTTGAAAATCAGCTTTTGCGCGGGTGTCCAGATTCGAACGCGCGATTTATTGAAAAATAGTTTGTGACATAAAACTGTTTACGGCCATCAACCATCACTGTGGCACAATGTGCAAATAGCCAAACATGATACAGCTTTTTGTACATTCTAATCGTTGTTATCTTCAAAGGAAATTTGCTTGAGCTTGAGGGCTGCGACTTAGAATAAAGCGTCGATGAAGTATTCTGTTTTCTGCGAAAATTGCAATTCAGATGCGTACTAGAGCATAAAGTATTTTTTGGCTAACTTTGGCGGAACGTCGCTTGGCCACGAAGTACGAATTGGAAAGGGCTAAGTGAGGTGTGTGAAGCCACAAGTCCTTACAGCGCTGCATTATAATGAAACATTACACTCAACATACTGAGCATAGGTAAAAAGAAAGTGGCTAAAGAACGCGAGTTTCCTACATAGTTGGTCTACCTGATTTTTCCACGGGATCTATGGGTCCAACTACATTCCCAGTACTTGTAGGACAGACTTGAAACACGATGGAGCGTGAATGCTCCTCCAACAAGTAGCTAGCCAGCACTGCAAGCGGCCATGGGCAATTGTCTTGCATGACCATACTTTCTGTCTTGCCAATTTTACAATTAAAGCAAAACCAGCATTCAATGCGTGCTAGATTTCTATCGAAAGAAAAAAGGAAAGGCGGCTTCATCTGCATGGCCAATGAAATCTCTAGTTGCTAGGATTGCATATAGGCCGTTAGTGAAGACTGAAAAAAAAAGAGAAAACAAAGAGCCTTGAGGAAACTATGATTACGATGGAATGCTGGGCATGGCGAGCGATGCAACGTACGCGCGCTGTAAAGAAATCCTTGCGGCAGCTCAAGCATCGTACGGTGTATACCATCATAGATACGCTAACGAAGGAGCAACAGTGGGTCGGGTCAAACGTTCGTTTCAACTAACGGGGGTTCCGCTAGCTGCTATGCAATTCCGATGTCACACCCAGTTGAAACGCATCAGGGAATGCTGCAGGTAAATGCTCTAAATTTTACGTCCAATACCGCCGTTGGCCGGTATCGAGTTCGTAAGGTAGGTTTTCAAGGCATATTTCGTACAACAAGGCGGAGTTCAACCGTAGCGGCCCCTGCGGTATGGTTAGTCTGGTAGCTCAATATAGCTCGTGGAAAAGGCTTATTATATAGGGTTTCCGAAAAGATAATAGGATAACTTGGTGCTTTGCTGGGGCCTTCCTATAAATGTGACCAGTTTTCTTTTTACACATAGGTACCCCAATGCCGATATATGTGCACCATTTCGTAGAGAGGCGCTAAATTTGGAAAATTCAAGGTCGCAAAGGTGGCTGCTATTGAGGTGTGATTCTTTTAAAATGCAGATATAACGAAGGAAGCTGCTTCTGCTTTTAAGCCCACTCAAATATTATCTTCCAGTTTTTTTCGAAATGGGTTATTAGAATCTTCTCATATGTACCCAACTGAACCGATTGCGAAGTAATTTAACTATTGAGTGATTTGAGATGAATCTACGAAGGTGGATAACACGGGATGAGGCCGACCTGAAAAGCATTTTTATCAGAGCCCTTGTGATCCGGAATGACCAACTGTGATGTAATAACGTGCGTAGTTTGAGAGGACATCTGTCATTCTATCAGAACTGGTCATCTGCCGACTGGTCGTCTGTTAAAGACACCTATTTAATCCAGGTTATAAAGGGCTATTACGTGTGCTGTACAAACGGAAAGAGCCTAAGATATCCGTGGGCGGTATTATTGATCAGTCCGTCGAGCAATTTTCTTTCTATTCTGCCATCTGGGATGTGTTTAAGAGAACATCACATAGGAGCGTATGGTCAAACTTCCAAAAGGATGGACAGGAATATCTGAGCTAAAATACGCGTCGTTTATAAAAAGGACGTTGGTTAAAAAAAACATTAGTGTGAAGTTTGATAGGGGTAGAACTTTGAGTGATTAGCAATATCATTGTCAGAAATTGGTACTACAAATAAACTATTTTGACTTGTACAATAAGTGACGTCTAACTCAGATTAGATCCGTCGGTGAAATGCATCGATAAGTTTCAAGTCAAACGCTTCATTAGGGTAGTATTGCAATGTATAATGGAGCTGAACTGATATTCAGTAGTACTATCCATTAAGTTGTTCGGTGACGATAACTTGAAGCGTGTGTACGTCCAGCGGAGAGCGATGGCTAAGGATCAAAAAGTAATGGGCGCGAAATTTCGAAATCGCACACTGGTAGCCAGTGATAACTCATGTAACTTAATAAGTGTCGTCATGAAAAACGGGGCACACTTGTCCTATACCCTGGTGAGTAATTTTGAATTCAGTGATCCTAAGAAACAGCGAGAACTATTGTATACGGCTGACGGATACGTCTTAGTTACCCAGAAGTGTTCTATTATGTCTGATCTTCAGAAGTAGCTATTTCCGTGTCAGTAAGGTGCTAGATAAAACGGTTGAGTCTTCGAGATTCTTTTGTCACGCACTAATGTAACTTCTCCTATATAACATGACCGAAGATGGCATTTGGGTCCACGCGCAAATACTTACTTGATTAACTTTCATAAGCCTAAAGAGCCACGGGTGGCTGGCTTGAGTCGCGCGATCGATATCCTTTATTCAACATGTGATCCAATAAAGGAAGTCATATTCACTAGCTGTTCCGTAAGAAAGTTATTCATTCATAACACATTTACCTCGTACTTACCTTCCATTTTCTTAACCACTGACTTTTCAACAAAGAGAGTCAACATACAGCGCCTAAAAAACCATTTAAAAATTAAAGAGGGCTGTTGAAGCGTTGTTACCACGTCAAAGTACACTTTTCCAGTGTTTTCCTTGTGACGAAAGAGTTGGTTTTTCGTTGCTACTTTTCATTAGGCACTTAAGTAGATTTAAAAATTTGAAAAAAATACTTATAGGAGTTAGCTTATGGTACTTGCAATCTCCTATGAGCTTTAACTAATCTCTTAAGTCTAGATAGGCCTCTAAGACTGGAACTCATTGTCACAAGGAGCTGCTGGTAGATAATCCTAATTTCCGAACTACGCTAACGTTCGATGAGTTAATTAGTACTAAGTATCTAACTAAATCTATTTAGTTCTATATGAAAAACATGATATGTATTTTTCGATGTCATGACATTTTGATAACGTACCTAGCTCACTTTTGCTTGCTTGTACGATCATTCTACGTTAGGGGCCTGTTTCAAAACCACCATAATAACTTCGGATGGACATATCATATTGATGAATCCTTACCTATAAGCATTTTATGGAAGAACATATTCCTGTAAAACGATATAATTTAAAATAAATAAATTGCAGCCAAATTTATTTATTAAAACGCATATTAATCAACAATAAAAACAATTTTATTGGAGAATATATTAATGTACGCAATTTAAGTTTAAGGTTACGTTGAGCAATATAGGGTAAATTTGCTTCCTTTCTTTCATCTGTTCTTATCTCTTGAATCGTTTATCTCTCTATTCCATCAGTATCATCATGTTTATTTCTGAACCAGTGACTCTCTGCTCGTGCATTGCTGAAGAATGCACGCTCACTCCCAAACGTTATCGTTCTCTACCTTTCATATACACAGCACCATAACAAACGTACACATATGTAGTTAATCACACATACCCCCCTCGTAGTCCTGCATTAGCAATGACAGATGCAACGTAGTAGACATTAAGTGCAAACACAGCCTTGTAGTATTTTACCCCCAATATTGGGCGGCCGGCCGGCACCCTATGGCCGATGACGCACGATCATCACACAATACAACAAGATCATTGTCATCTCTATATATATAGGTAGTTCTTATCTTTCTATATTCACCGTTGTTATCGTGAGCTTCATTACCATTTCAGTTATTTCAATCATTGCTAGTATTATAGCTTAACACCAGCATAGTCACTAAGGGGCCTTATTATTCTTGGTCACGGTCCTTCATGTTTCCTCACCGGGGATCCGGCCTTTAACGTAGGCCACTTTTGCTCTACAAACACCGAAAGGTAATAATATTTCAGTCAAAACACTCAATTAGTGTCTTTCGTAAAACCTTCTTCTTACGATAAGTAGGACAGAAATTCGCTCTTTCCACATTCAGTCATCCATAACAACGTTACCATTGGTACTATTATCATTTTAACTGTTATTTCGGTTGTTACTGTTTTCGTCTGTTGCCTCCATTGCCTCGCGTTTCTCTTTAAACGACATGATTAGATATCAATTTGTCGCTCACCGTTTCGTGTCCGGTTCGCCTCATTCCTCGATGTTTCGACTTTTCGAAATTGTCTCACCTTGTTACAGCAATAACATAATCATATATATATCAAGATCAGATATTCCTCTACTTTTACTGCTCTGTCTAGCATCAATCGCATACCCATCAATCACATCAATTCTGCACACAAGCAATGCTCATTAGGTACTGAGGCTATGGCCGAACACTCTACGTGTATGTCGCACCATCACAGGTGTTGACGATACCCAGGCAAGCGTTGCGGCGCAAGGATCTCTTTAAGCCATTGCCCATTGAGCAATACACATATCGATAAACTGTACACGACGTCGTTGAATGCCGGTTGATGCTTGAAGCTTGCCGCAGTAGCATCTTTTTCTTTTTGGCCTAATTGATTAAAAAGGTTACATATTGACCTGTCCTAATTTTGACGAAGATTACATATCGATGAAAGAATTGCTCAGAAATTGGTATCTGCTAACCACCAGCGCAGACTCTTGTGTTGGAGTATCGACAATTTCTTCGTCATCGTTCATCTAGAGATCCGAATGTATCATATCCATTAGTCCTTTGTGTTATAACACTGAACGGTGACCCTTACGATTTGGCCACCGCGCCATTAGCAGGGCTAATCTTGGTACTATTATTATATTTTATATTATTGTTTATTTTTATTTTTGATCACAGCTTATGCAGTGATTCCATCCATGGCCCTCGGCACATGTTTTAACGTGGCGCCCTCCAATAACGTAATTCTAAGTTTCTCCCTATATGACTCATAACAACGCCTATTCCCAGAGTCTACGTCTCTTTTTAGCATATCATCATTGTGAAGCCATCTTTATGACCGTATCATGTTAGTGTGATCAGTATGTAAGTTATATAAATCAACGATGCCCATTGTTACAATTTGCACACTGAAAGTTCTGCTCGGCAGTTTTCTATTGACACGCAAAGCGGAGTGAATCAAATGGTAATGATCATACGCCAGTGACTTTATAATAATAATTATGTAGCTCGTTATTTAGTGTTTTTAAGCCGAAATCGCAATTAAAGCCCAAGTTTTTTTCTTTGGCCTTCGCTTTTGCTATTACTGTACACCGTACCTTTACGTCGTGACCTTTCGACTCAGTCGATCTTGGCCATTTATTATGAATCCTTAAACATTTACCGGGCCAACCAAATAGCTGGCCCGAGCGAGAAGAATTCATTAGCGGTCAACCCAATAGACAATCAACGGAAAACGCAAGATAACAACGCATCGGGCCGCCAAAGCTGATCTCTGTTTGTATTCGTCGTTAGCTGATAACACACTATCATAATCGTCTCTGACCGTATTGCGTTAATATCAGCAAGTCTCGTACGTTGTCTATTGTTGGGGTCGTCCTTATGTCTACTATGATACGGTTACCCTGTTCCTTCCTAAAATGACGGTATTTCCTGTGTTGGGCTCAATGTCCACGCGAAAACGCGAGTGCACACTAACATTTGTGTATAATATCTACGTATATAAGGGCGGTTCGCCATGTGTAGTGCCGGGCCGAGCAGACGGACAAAGTGAGATCGGTCAAGCCTGAAGGTTAACTGGAAATGATTAGTATTCTAATGTCTTTGCCGATCTCAAGAATCGATCGAAACGTGCGTCCCAACCTCAGACTGTTCGATGAGTTTTTATAGTAATACGTGTGGCACGCCGCACGTATATTTATTCCCGGTGAATCAGCACCGGGACATTAACGACCGATTGACTGATCTGCCCGATTGAATGATGATTTATCATTTATTGCCCGACGCTCCATTATCTCAGTGAAGCAGCAAAAGTCGCAGCAAAAAGAGGTAGATCACATGTCATACCCTCGGACACTCCTGTACCAGGGCTAGCTCAAAAATAGACCTTATCCTTTTAATTGTTACGTAATACATGTCACTGGCGTGGCTTCAACCAGTGATCCCTGAGTTTTTCAGCTGGAGGTTTCATTGCCAAATCGATTGAAAAATATAGGAAGTGTAATTAATATGGTTATTCGAACGGGAAAAATCTGAATGAAAGTTTTTGGTCTTCCTTAAAAGAGATCAACTTTAGAAGGACGGCGACCTGTAGGATAACTTACGTCTTTCCTTTACTGATATATAGCATTTTTGTCCACGATGTAACTGGCATTTGTGCGTACTTTTCGATTTGGCGTATGGAGACATTTTTTAAGCATAGGTTTCTTTACGGGAGTAAGTTCTCGAGCAATGTGAGAATTTGCTGCGGCTCCTGCTTGATCTTATCAGCAGTTAATCAACAATTACCAATCGACGGTGGTATTACATATAATATAGCTTACTAACCATAATGACGTGAGGTAGACTATAAGTGAAGTCGCAGTAATGCTGAAGGGTAAATTAGCCTCCATTAGCGACATTGTTCCTAGCCAACATAATAACTGTGCTTTTCTGTCAGAGAACTGTGTGCACACCGAATAAACTTACAAATTACATTATTGTGTCAAGTTTTTCTTTGGCAAAACAACTTTTGATAGTATCGATTAGATTTTCTTAGCAGTCCTTTCACTTCCATAGTTCTATTAGAGTTGCTCTATAAATTGTCATCATATTGCATCATTGTTGAATAGTCGCAGCAGCGTATGTTTCATTTTCGCCAAATGAGACATATACTATGATTACGTTATATGAGTAAGAGCTCCACCATACAGTTCCTTTCCGAGCTGTCTTCGTTGCCACAAAAAAACATGCAAATTAATACAGTCATGTTAACTTCACCTGGCAGAAGCAATTTATGCCATCGTAAGAGAAATTTCTGATCCTAGCAAATGGGGTTATTTTTAGAAATATTCTATATTTCCCTTCTTCCTTGTTTGACTCTAAGAAATAAACAGTCCTCTTTAATCAACCGCTTTGCGGAAAAACCAACGACACAGAAGGACGACCGTGGTCCTTTCGATTCATCCATAAATTCTTTATATAAACCTCAGCGCCGCAGCGAACTCTCTTTTTTCCTACACATACATAAACCCAAACATTCAGCGGTAATACCTGCTGAGCATAACGTTTTCACTGCCCAATCCATATGTATAAATATATGAAGTCGAAGCTAAATAGCACAGACATACCTGTAGTCAGTTAAATCTCAGTGTAATGAGCTTCATGAAACATCTGGACGACATTTTGAAGCTGGGACCCGGATCCGTTAAACAACATTCTTCCGTTTCTTCTCGCTCTGAGAACGAGAGTAGGGTGTAACGGTAGATAAATGTCACAATAAGAAGCTCTGATGCGGCTAAAACAAGTCTAATATCAGGCTACTAAAGCGGACTATGTATTTTGATAGTAGAGGTGCGAGTGTACGGTGTGCTCACCGTGCTTCCATCGTCAATTAGGATAACGGAGCTTTAAGATTCTACGAATTACCGAATTCGTGCAAAGTGAGCTTCCACCCACGCTTGTTTCTGCATAACGGCTACAATCAAAGACTAGAAATTCTAGGGAACGTTCTTTAACAGAAACGTGCGTAGCGTAGTGAAACAGCATCAGTGATTAGATTCGTCTTTCTGTACAGCACAAACGATACCTACGAATGGCAGAACAAACGAAAACTGATTGGGCACAACGAATAAATTCATGGTCCTCAATAATTTAAAAATGAAAATTTTATCTCAGCAAGCTTATGTCCTGGAAGAGGGTCCAGTGGCATAGAAATATCCAATTCGTGTTTTTAAAGCGACCCCTATAGCGGGATGGTGCGTCCAATCCAAGACCTTACCTTTTCCATTATCGGATCTATCAGATAAACGATTGTTTCCAATAAATCGCGTCCTGGCAATCGAACTATTCAAGGTACATAGGAAAAGATCGCTGATAACTTTAGACAGATTCGCGTCTATATGTGTGCGGGTGGGTAGCTGTCAGTATTGCACCCTACAGTTGTGCAAAACCATAGAAAACAACAAGCGTACATTAATTCGTTTTGATAAGGGGCAATTTTATCCTATTTGGTCAACCATTAAAAACGTAACCTGAATAGGTTGTAAGCGAACGAAAAGAAGACGATTATGTACGAAAATGAGTGATTATGGGTGGACGAGGATGAAGGGTATAGAATTCGTTGAAGCGCTATGCTGAGGCAGATCTGTTCCTGGGGAGAGGCCACTAACTCGTGTCTTTTCCATGACTGCCTGTTAGTTTAGCGTATAACGTTAACTGATGCGCGACGACAGCGGAGAAATTTATGTACCCCAATGATTTGCAACGGAAATCGCAATCTGTTCAACTGACGGCTTAGAAATATTCATCCATGTCGTTTTTGAAGTCTGCTTTTTCTAATCGACTGGATGGGACGGAATCGGAAGAGCACGTGGAACGACAGAGCTTAAATGTAAACACATATATACACACACACACACACACACAGGAGTCGTATCAACGAAAATTCAACTATACAGGTATTTTTTCTTTCCTTATTTTTCCTTTCGTCTTCCTTTCTTCCTATTATCATCCATCTCAATTTATCGTTATTGTCATTGTGCTACAATATGGTCACTAACTGTATCCACATACTATGTACTTCACATATCTTTGTGTGTGCGCGCGTTTGTGTGGGTATAAGAGTACCAAGTATATTTCCCTTTTATGTTGGGCCTTGTCTTCTTGTACCATTGCTATATAATTTATATCTGCTACAACAACAGCTTGCTAAGTTATTTCATAATTTTTCAGCACTTACAAGAAGCGGTTATATATATATATATATATATTGTTATATCACGACACCGTGACATCCCTAGAATATGTTAGCTTTTAGTGATTCTCTTACTACATATTATTCATACAACAATGTACATATTCCTGTATCGCAAATCCCGGAGGAAATACTTTATACTTATACATATGTATTTTTGAGGGGGGTTTAACGACGCGAATAATCTGATAATGCCTGCAACATGTACGATGTTTTTCCTCTCATCACCAGATAATAATGACGATAAAAATCTCGTGCACACTAACAACAGGAAAATAAATAGTATATATTATATAAATCTATATATATATATGTAGGTATACACGACGTAGATACGATATACCTGTAACAATGGTCTAAGCATGTTCTCTGTATCCCTTTGATTTTAATTCGATCGCTACAGTTCTACATATCGTAGAGTTTTGTTACAGCTTATCAGTACGTTAGTGTTTGCGCTGTGATAACTGCCGCTATCGCCACTATTAGCGAAAACGTCGCGTTCTATTGTCGACCAGAAGACGGTCGTTTGAGAGAATGATATCTTGAAGCCAGCTTTACGGTAACGCTTTATCACACCAAAGCCAACATGTCCAGACACAAATGTCGGAAATAGTCGCTCATCAGATCGGCATAACTGGGTTTACGCAGACAAAACCGCCAGAACTCCCATACATATCCAACGGTCAGTGCTTCGTCAAATGCGTATGCAGGCGTATAGGGAAGATTGGCACTACTGGTCAGAGCAAAGGTCTGCACAAAATGTATGTGTTGCTATGCATTATCTTCACTCGCCCTTAACAATGCTGGCTCATTCATGTTAACTATTTGCTGTTAGGAAGAAGCTGATGTGGTTCCGATCCTGCCTGCATCTATCTAGAGTCCTATTCAAGTTTCAGTACATGAAATGTCTGCGATATGATAGTATACACGAGTAACGGATAAAACATGTTAAGCTCATTTTCACCTAATCACATACATCTACCAAAAGATATTTAGCGTACAATGCAATTTTTGGCCATGCAGTTTATTAGTTCACCTTCAATTCATAACTATTTATTATTAATCAAAAAAAGTTCAAACGGATGAGGACAAGTTACCGCATCTACGTTAGGCAACTGCTCCAATATCCCTTTCTCGTGTCCTTCCACCGTTATCGTTTTCTTTTCCCGCATCTGAACTATTTTGATACTCAAAGCTCGGAAGAATCTCCGTGTGTATTGCCTTTACATGTTCCTCCGATCCTCAGTCTCCGACTCGGTCCCCTTTGCCCCAGTCATATGCATTAAGTTCACGTTTAGATTGCTCACTTGGATCGTTTACGCGGACTCGTATATATGTGAAGGTGGGTGGATGAATGGTTGGCTATGCACTCTTCTGTATACATATTTTCATTATCCTCATCTCAGTTTCCTGCCCCGTATCTTTTTCTTGTTGGTTGCTTGGTAATATATATACATAGATGTATGCATATATATTACAGAACTGATATATAAGTTTTATGGTTTCTCATAGAGGTGCTATAAATACATTTGGATCATTTGAAATCTTTCTTCTGCTTCTTAAATATATAGGGCCATTAAAAGGCGGAAGCTGAGCATTTTTATGTACTGTGCGAGTACACAGGTATTAATCTTACCTACCGATGTATATACTTCACGAAGTTACGGTTTTTCATTCCAATCTCTTTTTGCGCGGATCTGCTAAAATACTGAAAAATATCTACAACAATCTGGTTTCAGCATTCTCTGAGGACAGTATCTAAATTTGCTTTCAGCTCAGTTTAACTTTATGACCGACCCGTTCAGACTGGTTCGTCAGTGACATTCATCATAGTAACTCCCCACTGAATTTTTTTCTACTGCAAAGATGATAGTACAATGATAAGAATCATAGATGCCGAGGGGGGCTTCCATCGGCATACAAATATACGCAAGGCCCCATGCGTAATCTAACTTTAGAATATCATTTACTTCTGTGTGTAAAATAGCTCTAATCTTTTGTCTTGTTTGCATGCGGAACAACGACGCTTATTGAGTGAATTTTCGTCTGGTCTCGCAGTCTTGTCACACTATGTAATAGCCAAAACAATAGTCAAAGACTCGTCGAACAGACACGACGGGAAGTCGATGCCAATAACTTCGATGGAAAAGAGCATTAATTGGTAACGGTATCGAATTTTCGGTATTGAGCAATGACAATATCTTTGAGTCTAATAAACAGGATTACGTAGAGTGTTTTCTGCGTCAACTCTACTGACACGGCATCGCAACTGGCCTTTTGATTTTGAGATACTTTGCTCAGAATGTCGCTGATTTTTTTGCCGACACGAATTTACGAGTTAGCCTGAAACTAACCATCGGTTGATACGACGAGCTGCCGGTCAATGATTGTAGATCAGCTGGAAGCAGTAAACAGATATGATATCGAAGATTACCGCGATAATGTGCCGCTGTGATTGAATGATGCATTGAACGTTGCGTTTTACGGGTGGATGAAGTGAAATGTACACTTCTTTGTAATGCTGTTCTTTACATGTTACGATGAACGGCATCATCGACGGGCGATGAACAGATTGACGACGGCGATCCTGACGGGGCGTAGCCTATGCTCGACCCCGATGAGTTCCGATGATGCGTTCCAACGGCGGTTAACACAGAGCCTAGAATCATGACAGAAACATCAATTTGGAATGAAGCATAAGGAGAAAGGAACCGGGGTGCCGAAACGGGCTTATAGAAGGTTCAAATATCGATTGGATTCGAAGTTAAAAAAAAAATAGGCTTCCCGCTAACAAGGATAGGGTTAGTATTGGAACATATCGTTATATCTAGGAAGCCGATTTTTGCACTAGCTCAAATTAATCTAATTTCTTTGGAAACCCTAAATTTGCGTCTTGTTTACCAGTGGACATAACCCCCTTTGTGATTACTGAATAACTAATTCAGTAGATATCTCGTCGTTTATTTGCAGAAGTCGTGTAAAGAGAATTATGAATTTTACGATTTTTATGTCTCTTTTCTTTCAGAAGGAAAAACTAGCCAAGTGTCTAGCTACTGTGTGTCCTTTATGGTATCTGCTCTATAAAGTCATCATCTGCGACGTTGAAAGTCTGAATGAAAGCGTGATAGGGCTTGAAGACAACGCTGAAGTGCTGGCATTATTTTCGAGGTTCTCGTAAGCAGAACACCATTTTTTCTAACTTAACTAAGCAAGTCAGTGCTTCTTTCATTGAAGCCTCTGAACCAATAAATAGACTATAATGGATAATTGAAGAGATCTTAGCTAATAACTTGAGTAACTCAATTAGCACAGTCATACCTTAAATTACCCAATTTTTTATGAACGCGCCGGAAATGCACCTATTTATCGAGAAATATTAGGATTTGCTCCCTTTCCAACAAATCCAATTCATGTTGGCCATATGTCTAGTCTGCCTTTTTTCGACGATTAGCTCTGACAAGCGCCGCCCGTACGCTCCAAGGGTAAATCGAATTTGATTCAAGAATCTACTGTGTATTCTTACGTTGAAAATTGCAGCTGTTCCATTTAGCCTTTCTACTTTGCAGCTGTTGCAGGTGTTGCTGATTCGACTGTCGGCTATGCATCAGCTGACGAACGTTGACATTCGACGAAAACTGGCCCTGCGTAAATTGTGTGACTTCTACGCCTATTCCGATTCTCGCATCGGAAGCGACGGGCGACGTACTTGGCATAACGGGCAGGTTTGAAACCTCTACACCATCGTTTGACCTGCGCGAAAAAAAAGGTATGTCCTAATTCAGTGCGGCAGTCGACATAGACCCCACAACCCTTTCTGGGTTCGTCTCTTTTATTCGTGGAGCGAATATAGTAATTATAGAAGACACAATATTAATTTCCACCAGAACTCGCACTTGGAAAATTAAAGTACCTTTGCTTTTACACAGGTAGAAGCCGATTTACGACCTGCATAGAAGAAAACACACTCAGTTGTACCTGCTTACGAGACTGGATGATTCAGCGTTACGAATTAGTGATTGTGCACTTGAATCCATCGTCGAACAAGCGGGATGGCTCGTGTCGCCAGAGGCACAGGACGCTCGCTCTCCGTCAGGAACGCAGGACATTCGGCCTACCGATATCTCCTCGAGATCTTCCGAATCATACTCGGTTTTGAGTTTGACGAAGCAATTCGAGCCGAGGAGTAAATTGGGCTCTACAAGGTTCTCCAGCGCTAACGGATCGCATGCAGAACCACCTGGAACTGTCATTAGCGGATTAAGCGGCAGTTAGTACGAAAGCCGGCAAAGAGCGTTTTTCGTGCCATAGTTCGATGAAGAAGATTAAACCATCAAGATGTGTGTCTGCTGATATTGAAACGCAACGTACCATGCTTGTTTAAGTTGATTTCGGTGGATTCTTTGGATCGCTGTATGCGTCTGAGGGTATGGGCATGGACTGAGCTGAAGAAATCATTTAGATGTTCAACGGTCACTGAGTTGATGTGTGGCGAAAACCGGTTGCATAACTCCTGTCGTTCACGTTCACCCTCTTCCTTCGACATTAACGTATTTACGCACACAAAGTGGTCAACCTGAAACCGTCACCCGATTTCGATTAGACGACAGACGATGGCATTATACGTTTTCTAATTAACTGAAACCAAACATCGAAAAAATGCCGTTCCAGAATACGTTCATGTAAGAGCATAAAAAAAAAATTGTTCAATAACTGAACGCTTCACGGGACAGAAATTCCTGTTCGAATACCTGTACCCATCGTACCTACCTGCATCGTGGTTTGATCATAGTGTAGGTAACCCGAGGTACGAAGATATATATAGTCATCGCCCCGCGTTCTAAGCCGATATACAACAACGCCTTTACCCGAGTGCGAAGCTAACACTGAAAACAATAACCGATAGCGTCGACTTCGGAGTCACAACGCAGCTCATGGACAAGCTAGGGGTGACATGGTTATTAATGTACACGCTGCAGGCCGTAGTTAGTCTTGGAAGCTAGTCAAGCGACAGTTTTTTATCTATTTAAATTTATTTATTTACAGTATTTAAAAACAGCGGGGGTCTTTTGACTATGTAAGTGCGGACTTTAGGGCCGAACCGAACCGATATGTGGTACGGTGGAAATATAATCGCGAATATACGTTGAATGATATGCGTGCTGGTCAAACACAACTGGGAGGTTAGCTGAAATTAAACATTTAAAGAGCTTGGAAAACCGTTTAGTCTCAGCTAGAGATCAAAGCCGGTACCCCAGGGAGTTTGGGGAATTGTTCCCCTCGTCACCACGTCAGGAAATGTTTAGAGAGGGCGCCACTTGTACCATGTGCACAATCCATGCTATGAAAAACTATGTGATTTTATTTGCGGTATTCGAGCCGTATATCTTATAACAATATTATGCTTTTTGTGACAGGTAAGCGGCTATTTCATTTCCTTGAAGCATTCTATAAACAGTGCGCATAGTACACAATACTGTGAATGGCAGTTCTTAGCTTTTTACGGCACGCATATCAGAAACGTTGCTGTCATATCATTCTGATTTGTGCGTCATTTTGTCTGTACGTACTGTCCTTCTGCAGATGAGCGTGAATTTAAGCAAAAGGTACTTACTTTGTTTTTGGGCAAATAGGGCAATAACAACATCTGACGGGTCCATGTATTTGTGGGCAGACACCCCAATGACCTCGTGCGGGAGATGGCCCGTCACCACACCAATACGATGGTCTGCGTAGATGATTGTACCATCCAACTTATGACGTGTCACGTACTCGTCCTATATTGTCAAAAAGCCGTTAACGATAGAATAGATCAGCGCGTAATTCTACGTATGCCTTGTTTTAAGCGATTCTTATTTGTCCCGATTTTTCGCGAATCGTGTGGTAGAGGGAAACAACGACGTTTTCATCGGGCAACATCGGTGTAAATCTGAAGCTTGTCCATAAACTCCATGCGAACGCTAACGGAAACACTCGCCGCCATACAGGCTAACTGTTGGAAGCTTATTATCGGTCAACAACGATCACTATAACAGCGACACTGGCAGCCGTCGATACAACCGTTAAAGCTGCGCCCCCAGTGGTGAAACGATAACCGGAACAACTCAGAGCTGATTCGGGTTAAAAAAAATTGCCCTTAAATGTTAAAAATGATCTATTGAACGATGGTGTAAAAAGGTGACTCTCAAAACAAGGTTGGGTGCATGCTCAATATATGACTTTTATTATGCGCCGGAATTCATTATTGAGTTCCACGAAATCACGAAAGTGAGCTTCAGGCACTGCTAAAACATACACTCATTTTGTAACGTAGCACCGAATGGCGCCGCCTGCTCCTAAAGTAGTTCCTGAGCGCAAAATACTCTCCGAAAACTGGCTCGACATAAAGTTTGTGTTATTAGCGAAGGCCGTAACGGCTCCACAGGTTTATTTTCTACCGCGATTGGCCACCGATATAAATCGTCAGGCGACCTGTTTTTAATGGTAACCGTGCAGGGCAACTTAATGCAGTACATATGGCTATACGTCAGCGTACGTAACGCATAAATATAAGGTAAGAAAACAAAACAAGCTGACATCAAGTACACATAATGAGCAAGAATGAGAATGCCGTTTATGGTGAGTGTCGGTAGTATCTCATCGAAAACATATGCAGTTCTAGAGTGATGGCACTAGTAATGTTGGCCTGCCTAAATAGTCACCGCCTTTCCTTCTAAAGGTCTTACATGAATCAGGGTGTAGGGTTCGTAGGACGTATGTATGCCTCTTTTTTGACTCAACTCAAAGCAAACATTTTGTTCATGGCACAGCCAAGTAGGGCAAGCCACGGCGCCCTATATATATATATATATATATAGGCAAGTACCTAATATTAGGTGACGCCCTATAACAAACGCAATCGCAGGGGCTTGACGGAAGAATGTATGAACAAGTCAAATAAACAACAATTAAGGAGTAAGTAGATAAGCTTTTTAAGATGATTATTTAGGCTCTGGTGCGATAACTGGTAATGAAGATCAGGGGGGTGAGGAGAGTGATCGATGTTCAGGAACATATGGGGTCCACTGAGTGACCACTCAGTAAGGATTTATCCAGAAGCCCCAAGCGGACTAACTGGTAAGGGGCAAAGCGTAGTTTATGGATCTGTAAAATATCAGCAAGTGTGTGGAGTAAAGGGTAAGATAAGGATGTGGAGACTTATGAAATTCCGGAGATGGCATCGCGTATGACTTGTATTTGTTGCCTTTTTTCGCACCTATAACTCGTCCTTCAGATGACCAAGCAGTAGGAAGTAGGACAGGTAGAGATTACCAAGATTCGTAAACTAAAAAAAGAAGTTGTTATATAACAAAGGAAGCAAAAGAAAAGCGGTATCATTAAACCGATTCTACTAAGGGGTAATCTGTGTTATGACAGCCACCTATTGGATGACATCAGTCATGAGCAATTGCCGCTGGGATTGACTGGCATAAGGAAGGACTCGCAACAGTACGATCACCATAATTGCGGATAGCACAGGATCGACGGCAGAAATCTTTCACGTATTCATTTGTCTACTACTGGGGCCCGAAGAGTAGGATAAAATAGTACAAAGGCATGATATGTAAATACCAGTTGCCAAGGGCATTATGATCGCACGCTCGCCAGACGAACGATCAGGTGTATAGAGACAAAATATTGGCCAAATCAGCGATGCTCCTTAACAAAGCAGGAAAAGCAAGTTTTTCAGTCTCTTCAAGGTTAGAAGGGTGGGCAAAACAGCGTTACGAAGATTGCTATAGAGGTAAAGATTCGGCGTCGGCTAACCTTCTCTCCTCAAACAATTGCATCATAATAATACAAGGAAAATCGTTTCTGAAACAGGGAAATCATTCAAAAGCTGTCCAGTTTCCCGTACGATATTTGAAGTTAACAAAAAACGAACGATTAATTACGTAGATAGACTCACATCAATAGTGTAACAGCAGCCATGGCAGACGGTAGTGGTGAAAATTTTACTTTATGGAACAAGATGACAGAAACTGTATATAAAGACACAGAATACCCGATCGATGAAAATTATCCAGATTTAATATCACTATTGTTATTATGTGTTGTAACAAGAATAGGCAGGAAGATGGAACGAAGGATGAAAAGCATTATTTTCTTCAATTCAACTACCTGAGAGGGAAATTTTTATTAAGAAACGGGCAAATTATGCTTGAATCGCTTAGTCAATAACCACATAACTATAATAATTAGCCAGTTGTTAATTTGATTGTAAATGTTAAGAAATGACACAGAAAACAAACATTTGAAACGAAAATCTGCCACGCATATAATGCTCAAATGGTATTAAACTAGCCGGGTTCAGTCGTAGCAGGAAATCAAGCTAAGTGCCTTAGTAGACTTCACATACTGTTATTATATATGTGAAGACTCTTTAGCTCACAGCCAAAATGGCGATGTTCGATAACGATACCAGGAAGAGGTGAGCACAGTTTTGCGGTGTTTCTTTTGAACGAAACTTCACGAGATGCCTTCGCCTTATAATTTCATACAGTACTGGATTTCATTATTCAACGGTGCTTAATTAAAAGTTGATGGCTGAAAGGAGTCTTACTTTCATTCAAGCAAATAAAAACCTTTGCTGTTTATTTTCCGTCCCGTCAATGACCTACTGGCATAGTATAGCGACGACTCAAAATTAATCTAACCCTAACATCATCTCAACAACGTTTCAAATTTTACGTCAAGTACTCAATGGCATTTGAGTACTTGACGTAAAAGCTCTCAAAACGATTCGAACCTAGGCCACTACGTAATTACTGCGAGTAACGGCCAAACATGTTACAGTAACACAGTATCTTGACAACTGGAGAAGACGTTACGATTTACTGTCTATGAGTTCAGTGGGTACGTGCGATATATGTAATAAAATAGTAAATAAGCGCACAACTGTCAGGTCTGTAGAGTTTACTTTCAGTCAGGGACAGGACAGAGTGGAAGATCTTCAGTCAACGTTAATTGTTACGTATTTCGCAACGCTATTTCGTATATCGTGAGACGCTCCTGCGGTGCATTAGAAGGTCGGGCATTTTTCCTACAGTTTAAATGAATTTCACCTTCTAGTTACCTGATTAATTGAATCTCAGCGGTAAAACTTTAACCAGTTATAAAATAGTCCCTGATAACCTACTCGGTTAGCGTCGGTGAGTGAAAGCTCTTTGTAGGGTGAAGCGTTCAAAATGCGAACGAAAGTCTTGAGTAAAAATCTCGCAGGGCTGAAATTATGAGCCAGAGCTGTACTGTGAGCGCTTCCCATACCGCTATTCTCTTCGAACCTAGCTGGACCTGCGATACGTCCAATCGCATAGATTGCCTGTGCGAAAAAATAATAGGATTTTACACATCGGGGTAACGCGTTTGTGGTGCAAAAAATAAATGTATATTTATAGAAACAGATAAATGACCAATATTGAAGTTATCACAGACAAACGCAGCCTACGAGAAGGTTCTAGATTTGACGATAGATTATGGGCTCTTTTTTTTTTTTTTATTTCCTAAATATAGAAAACATTGTTCGATCAATTTTCAGAGGCGATGTCCATTGAAACTGTAGCTGCATCATAGCAATACATGTGCATTTATTTGTGATCAGCAACCCAAATCAGTTACTGTCTACGAGTACAAAGTACGTCACCAACCTGATACGTGATGACTTCAGATCGTGGTTGAGTTTTTTCACGTATTCGGCAAAAAAACGAGACGTCGTCGCACACCAGTTGGTCGCCGATCAGTCGATACTGTTCTTTTGCTAAAAATAGTGATTGTAGTTTCATATGGACATTGTTTACGTCCGCTGCATGCATGAAAGTGAATAATGAGTGGCCGATCATCTCGATCTGCATCAAACAAATATTTAAGCAGACATTATTTAAATTAATGTTAGAAAATCCACAAAGCTTTGCCATTTAATCGGGCGGCAGCAGCAGCAGCAGCAGCAGTCCGCTATCGAGTTTGCTGCCTTTCAAACGACTAGGCACAACGTTTGATTAGGGTAGGAATAGGACGCTCGATGCAAGCATGTCGCGTATCGCTCGTTGTCTACCTAGTTAGCTGAATGACGTTTCGCAGAACAAGATAATTTCTTTTTCCTACTTTTAAACCTATTAAAAATCTCTGATATATGTAGATAAGATTTCTCTCGCAAACTGGGTTTATTCGCCACGCGTGGCTTCCAGTATTTGACAATCTATTCCATGAGAAAGAAGTTGTTTCGTACGTATCCGTCAAGTGTTGTCCATACGTCGGCGAAATCTTAGAAACGTCCTTACTATTGGCACGTCCTCTAGTTGACTCACATGTTGATGGCCGAGAAAACCTTCCACCGTTGGCGATACGTAGATGATCTTGCCATGCATATTAGTCACAAGAACGAAGCCTTCAAGAGCATCGATCAGCTCCCGTAGATGGTTATGATTGACATAGGCGGGTCGCCAACGTCTCCTTCGTCGGATAGGTCCAGCACTCTGGTTGTCCTGAATCACGCCGGGAAAATCCAACCTACTCACCAGCTGGGTCTGATGGAACCGAAGATGGCCTGCGCTAAGCCTGTTCAGCATATGACAAGCAGATCGATCGTACTGTGAACAGAGATCTATTTTCATTCAATGCTAAGTGCCTTTATTTAGATAATTTCAAAATGGCACAGTGATTAACTGTATGAAATATCATCTGAACGAGTTCCGACTAGTATCTAAGGTGATATAGGCACTCTACTTTTTTTTTTTTTTTTTTTTTTTTTTTATTTTCATTTTACTCCCTTAGCCAGTAGGCGTTTGAACAGCCAGATCTGACAAAATCATTTCTAGTCACTGCTATTAAAAATGTTATTACTGCATATATTCTGCCTTTCCAATTGGCGTTATTTCCGTCAAAATGGATGCCAATAAGTTTATTAAAAAAAAAAACGGTCAAAAACGCTAGTAATATAAATAAGCACTCTAATTAATAATATAGTAAGTACAGTTAAAGCACGACCCATTTAGAAGAAACTGGTCCTAACGATAAGGCTGGATCGAGAACATAGATTTTACTTATTTGAATTAGACGACATTTTTCCTTCTGCTATTTATACATCCACTAATATAAGATGTCGTTTTATACATACCAATGGCATTTACGAATTTTTTTGCACTGAGTAAATTAACTAGGAAGGAAGGATGGACAGTTATTGCGGGACGTAGCCCGCGTACGTAAAATAGAAGGTAATCTAAGCGGCCCTGACCCGATGGTGACCTTTCAAAACATGTGAGTTGGACAACGCAACCATCTGGCGGATACTTGTATAGGTAAAGGTAATAGTGGTATTCTATTATGATTTTTTTCTTCAACACTAAAAACTGATGTAATACGGAATCAGCTTCGGCATATGAAAGAGACGGACTACCCTCAACTATTTCCTAGATCACTCGAACAGATAAGCTAAATTAGTCCTAAGTCGCTCGCCTGAATGCGCCTGGCCGCGTACTTCGCATGCACTAATTTAGAAGATGCGTGACGAGCTGCCGCGCTTGATTCGGTTCGCACACAGGATCACCATAGACATACAAAGTCTACCCATTTTTACAATAAACACCGAAGTTCCAAAAACTAACTGCGCGTACCGTACAATAACCAATGCTACCTTGTTATCCCTGCTTAGTCACTTTAGGCCCGATTCATTTAGAGCCGACTTCTCAACCCTTGTCCAATACTGTCCTATCGTCTTGTTATACCGGTCCCACTATTTAGTTACAGTGTTTCTTCTTACTCTACGCCCTTTCTCCAGCTGTCGGAGTTCTCATTACGGTTTATCAGCTTGCTCTAGTTAAATCCACTGAATGTTCGAGTCACTCTTTTACTTTGTTGCATTAGTCTATTTTATCAATTGTTATCCCTTTGATTATTATTTCACTACCACGTCCACGTCATCCTGTGAAGCTGTAGCAGGTGTCACGTACATCTGCGCCAATTGCCCCGTGCTTCCGGTCCAACTCAGCCGTCACTACTTAAGTTACTACCGTTGTTGCACCGCTTTGAGGTGAAATAACTTAAAAATTCTTTGGATATATGAGGCCAATCGTAAGATCAAGCAGTAAGCAATACGAAAACACTGCCAAAAAAAAGAAAAGTCTTAATTGTTTTTCGAGTCAATTATATCCAACATCATACTTCACTCTACTGAAGAAAATGAAAAAAATCAATATGTGCGAAGATCTGGCTATTTCTAAAAAGTTAAGCTCGATTTGAAGGTAAGCTCGAAATAAGTTAACGTTTGTAAAATTTTTGGTACAAATTATTGTTCGCAGATATGATTTTTATCATAGGATATTTTTTGTGAGGGCACAAAATCGCAGATAATCATAAGGGCCATGATAAAAATTGCCCGAGATGATCGATACACGTATACGTACTTTACCGACCCACTACAACTGGTTGTTTTGTGTTCGTATAGAAGAAGAACACTTCGTAGTGGGTTCAGGCCCATATTTAGACATCGTTTAACTGTAAAAAATTTAATGATTTTCCGCGGTCTAGTATTCAATCTAATCAAGTTGTCAACTAATAAACTATATAACTTACCTAAGTATGGACGTTTTGTCTAGCCGTTTGCTTGACATTCCAACCATTGGGACCATGGTGGCCAGCTCCGAAATAGACGAGTTCAATTTGTCCCGCCGTTGTTTTTCAGCGATATTGCGCTGGATTCGTTGATTGTTACCAGCTAACGTGGCAGAATGATGACCACTTCCATGGGGGCCATGGTGACCCCCGTGGTGACTTGTGTGGTGGCCAGACCCCGATGGGCCGGCACTCGCGGCCAGTGACACCATTCCCGTAGAGACGACTCCCTTTGAAACAGCTAATGAAAAATAAAAAAAAAAAATAGAAGAATAAGTATGAGAATATAAGGAATCTAGTCTAACATCGTTTATCGCCGCTATCTTGTATCATAGCAGCTTTCAAAAGGCCTAAGAAAGACAATGTTGGCTCTCTCCCATTGAATAGTCTCCGTGCTTTTCTGGATAAGGGGTCACATTTAGGCGTATCTAGCCTCGTAATTTGTCCTTCGAGCTATCAAACATCTTAATTTTTTTTATATGCAATCATTATAGACAAAGCATTACTAGTAACACTGAACGCGGTCTGTGCACGGAAAAGCTGTTATTCGGTATCGAAAGTGCCCCTTTTGAGCTGCTTATGCAGTGCACCGAACTGTTCCGTCATGCATAATATGGATAGTAAAATTGGTTTACCCGATGACCCGACCGCCCAATTGACCGGTCCCAAAAAGGCCGCAATCAAATTGGTGTTGTAAGTCCGCGCTAAGCTCCCATTAGCAGTGGCTTTCCACTATACGGCACAATGTTGATACTGTCATGACCGTCCCATGTCGATGTTTGTAGCACATAGTAGAGTGTTAGCTTGAATAGTTCGAAGAACGAATAGGCATGCTGCCGAAATCACGTAAATCATTACACAGTTACTTATACACCTATAGCCTATTCTTCGTTGAAATTTGGAAGAGATAGGGTGGTCGAATTTAAATATGCCCCGTCTTCGTTTTCTTGTGGACAGTACTTAAAGCAACTACCTTTCTTTACTCACTAACAACCTTGAATTTAGAATTGACAGATACACAACATGACAACACAAGCAGCAATTAATTTGTTTCCAGCTAAAATCAGTTTTCGGTGCCGGTAAGTCTAATTTCTCATACAAACAACAGTAATTCTGCCGTAAGCTACGGGCCAGACGAGGATCGAATGGCTCCTTTACATACATCGTATACATTTATAGTACAATACATTAGCCTTTGTATAAAGTCCAGCCCCTAGCAAACGTGATAAGCAATTTTCCAGGTTACAAAAGGTATTATAAGGGAGTTGCGTATGAGAAAGGCAAGAGTACAAACCTATAAAAAAACAAACGTTAATCAGTATATACACATAATTAGGTCCCTTTCTAGCGGGTTGCCCTTTCCATAAGTGGTTCCATAAAAGTTTGCGTAGCAATACAATGATCGCACGCAGTATTGAACAGGATACAATGTACAACAGCAACGACGATGCTATTGTTAGCCTCCAATGATGCTCAAGTGCGTTAGACGCTTTAGAGTAAATGCATTTATATTAGTCCTATGTATTCTGCTTATGATAAAAAATGTTTTTCTTTTTTCCGACAATCTGACCAAGCTGAAATTAGCTGATCATTATCTGAGATGATCCATATCATAAAATGATGCACTTAGTTGTTCAGGCGGTCTTCAAAAAGGGGCGATGATTTCTAGATCCAAAGTTTTGTCAACGAACGTTTCTATCAAATAATCATACACTGATCGATGGCTAGCCATGGCTCGATTACTCGGGGGTAAGTGGAATTTTCCAAAAAGAATACTGATTAGCAATAGAGGTACTTGATCGTTGGGGTAATATAGTCGATATTATTGCTACCAACTATTTCGGACACGATGAAACATAGGCTTGTATCAAATAGTTCATCTCCACACTACCCTAGATTGAAGGCTGTATCATTCGCTCGCGAATGCTAATCTCTTTCTGGAAGCAACGAAAGTAGACCTACTCCGACTCATGAGAGCAAAATGGTCCTTGATTAACAACATTACGGTCTAGCGGACGACGGAATTTGTTATAACTAATGGTATATGCAACTAGTCCAATTTAGAATTGTTACCGACCGCAAAGCGACCGGCATTTTCAAATAACTCAGGAAGTGATATAATCGAGGACGTTCAACAAGCAGTCGAGTTTGTTCTATACTAGAGGCCTGTTAAAAACACGACACAGAATATAGCGTAGTCGCTAAACCTGTATTGTTTCGCGGGAAACAAGCAGCGCTTAGTCCGTGAAACGATTCGTACCGAGGAAAAGGCTTTAATAAGCGTGTACTCATTATGATCTCCCGATGAATAGGGTACAGCGAAGGACCTGCTTTCGCCACCGTTTAATAACCTTATAATGAGAAAGGCCTGTTCTTATGTATGTTTGATATTTGCCACATGCGATTGGCATCATTATCACAAGTAGAGAAAATCATTCTGAGCCAAGCTTGTAGTAAGTGCTTCAGTTCACCCGATCGCTTGATCGTCGTAATGGCGCACTAACGGAACTGTGTACTACACCTTTCGAGTCCAATGACTCCAACGACCACCCCTACACTCTACCAAGACGAACGGAACACTCGTGTCTTTCGTTCTAAGAGACATTGACTATATGAGACAGTGCCGCTATGGGAATCGGAACAGAGTTGTGCGCACCGTAACAAGGCAGGGGACAGGAACAGATACAATCAGGTCAGATAAACAAGGATTGCAACAGTAAACCGCTCCTGAAATCACGTTGAAACCCCTCAGCCGCTACCCATCGTCGCCCTTATAGGCTTCACAAATAATGAGAACTTACCTTTTTTCAGCCTTCCCGTTAACTTCTTTCTCAACTACTCTTCTGTCACTTTTTACTACGTTGCGTCTTTGGCTCCCTACTCTCATCTCCTACTTGAAGGTATTCATTTTTCACGATAACGAACGAGTGGTAGCTAGTAACTGATATAGAAATCTCCGTTTTACTCTTAATTTACTCCCTTGTTCTTTCATAGTCTTCTGTGCGTGGTTGGATCTATATAACTTTTCTATGTCAAACGCGTAAAAGAACATGGAGGGAAAACTGTGTCTCAACCTAGAAGGGTATCTGACATACGTCATGTGTGTATATGGCTTGTACCTTGACTAGAAAATGGAAGGCAGACGTCTCCTAGTGTTGACGCTATCTGCAACGCAATTTGCAACTGCTGCTGACGTTGGTAGGACGTACGCCGAGGCTGCGAAGATGGTGATGACGATGATAACTGAGCGCTCCGGGACTGAATATGAAGTTCACTCCCCACATTGCTTGCCTGTGTTACTCCCGGACTCGAGTGCTGTTGTGTCTCGCTGGTCGATGCTGTCGTGGATGACGAGGTTGCCGAGGAGGTCAGTAATGAAGATGACGATGAAAGTGACGCGTCTAAATCTGGTACGGCGTGGCCGTTCCGGGACATACTATGGGACGCGACCGTCTGGTCGACCGCAGTCGTCAGCGGACTCTCACACACCAAATCGCTGAAGGATTCCTGTTTAATATGTGGCAACTGCACGTTAGTTGTTGGCTGTAAACGATGTTGCGTAGAGAGCATTGCCCCGTGTGCATTTTTATGAAAAGCCACGTCGCCATCGCGGAACGCCAACGTGTTTAGCGTAAAGCTTCGTGACGCCGGGGCTGTTGCTGAATAATCAAAAAAGCCATCCGCCAAGCGGACACCTGCGATGGGGACAAGCCCTGCCTCACCGCCCAAATCTGCAAACGAAATTGATGCGATAGAATTCATGAAAGTCAACTAGAAATTATCCAGACACTTAGCGATCTAAAAGTATCGTTTTGAGGCTACTGATTTTATACAAATAAACAGTAGCCGATTAAGAAGAGCGAGGTAGAGTCCTCGTATCTCCTACTCAGAATTTGGCAAAGGGTACGCTTTTTGAACGCGGCTAAATGAGACGTATAATAAAATGAAAATGCAGGACAGGGTAGTACTCTCATTTTATACTTAACGCTCTATAAAGTTGGTGGCGTCTTATAGCTAGCTTAACGTCCAAGTTCTGCTCGTAAACGTACGCTATAATAATATTGTATAACATATATGTCCGTTACAATGCAGATGTGAAATGCTATTACAGCCGAACGGACTGACTTTTGTTTTGTTTGTTCATTAGTGGCCTTTAAAGGTATTGTCCGGCTTTGTACCGCTGGTCATGTAGACAGTGAGAGAGCAACGATGCAATGTTATCTTCAACGGGTGAACAATAAGACTGGAGATCGTTTCATACAAAATGAATTGTCAGTCAATCTTAACTATCTACAGTCAGTCGATAGGTTTGGTGTCAATACCACAGTCAGCAGTCGGAAGTAACTGCTTTCCCAGCAATATTGTCCTTTTATTTATGCAGCTAGCGTGTTTTCGAGATATTGCCAAAGGTCCATCTGACGGTAGACTCAACGATTCGACGGTAAGAACAAATACGCTAACAAGAAACAACTTGGTGTATTTAACTATATTTGCTAGCAGCCCGTAATTCTTGCGCTCTCAATTATTATTTCAATGTATTTACAAATTGGTCCCTCAGGCTAAATACAACACGCGATACCACAATTTTGCACTGAAAAGTTATGTTACGGGCGCTTTCTCCGAACTACTTGGGCAGGGTCAGAACCGCTAGCATGTAACGACCCATTAACTAGGACGACACTAAATAGAGCCCTATGTAGAATCACTCCAAAAGATTATATTTTTTTTTATTTTTTACCGTTCCAAATATCAACAGCTAAATGTGTGGCGTACATATAATACAGCTGGGCAGAGCACTGGCAATAAGCTCACGGTCTAGCCTAATCTTGTTCTTGATAGAATGTTTGAAGTGAAAAGAATCATACTACATTGGTCCACAATATTGCCCCTTCCGTGATTGACGAACTCTGCCCAAATGTTTGAACCCGTTTCGCCGAAACTTCGACAATTGGTTTCAAAGGAATGGTCTGATCAGGTCTCAAAATTGCAGCAATGTGGCCGCTAATTTAGATCGATAAGGAAGGAAAAAAACATGTGATTTGTGTGCTAAAGTTTGTGTTAGCGGGCAGCTGAAGAACCTCTTAATGTTTGCAGGACGGCCTTTACGATTTTTGCAGTGGGGGGCTGCAGTTGTCGCGAAGCATGGTGATTAGATCTTGTCCGGTCCGATGTCTTTGTATCAGTTAGCCTTATTTTGGGCTATGTCGAAATGCAGATTAATCATCTGACCTTTTTCAAACAATGTGTTAGACCTCAACAATACCATTCGACATCCTGCGGTTTTAATTGAACCTAGGTCCAGTTGTAATCGCTGAAATGTTTACGCCTTTTTTATGCTAACATAGGGGCACCACTTTTAGTTTCCTGTGGTACTTGTGTGCACGTCTCTGCCGTTGTGGAAATTACGTGGTGCTAGACGAGCTAGGGAGCGGGAATAGCAAGCCGATACGGCTTGTTCACCTTATTATCTTATCACCTTATCACCTAAATATCGACTTTTCGAGTAAACCCCATTAAATAAAAAAAAAAACGTACGGCAGTTACAATTCATTTTTATGACTAACTATCGATCTGATTAGCGACCGCATCTCTGAAAGTATCTGAAAACGATTCTTGTCGAGGTTGGCCGATATAAACCTCAAACAAGCAATTTCACAAACTACTCGCGTTCTCTGCTTCTATCCACTCCGGAGTCATGCTCTTATCGACCGCCTCACAACTGCTTCGATCTGTTGAAATCGCATATTGAGCCGGTGCAATGCATTGTAGAATAAACGTTGAAACGATGTTTTCAGCTACCTGGAATAGCTATATTTCGAAGCATGCCCTGATGTCGAAAAGCAAAAGAAACGACAGACTTGTTGCCTGAATACAGCCTGTTTCTTTCCCGTTCATATAAAACTACAAGGCAAAAATTGTCTTGGTAATTAATTATAAAGTAATCGATAATGCTCCATGATAATTTCCAGCCTTTTACGGTTTGAATTCGAACTATGCTGAGTCTTCCCCCAAAATGCTGGACCAATTTAGTGCTTCGCGTTAAACAGCTTTCTAAATGTCGAAGCTTACAGATTGCCCGTACACTCCTCTCCCTCTCTCGTCCAGAATGCATATATACATACACAAGGTGTTTCAAAAATGTGCGCACTACGATTTGATTAGACCGTGCCTTTCGGACACTACAATCATTAATGCCAATCGCTTAAATGTACTTTTTTCTTTTAGCACGCCATGGAAGCTGAATCTGTGAACCAAAAAGCTTGTTATCATTAGTAATAACGTATTAACCAGAACGGTAGAAATTTGGACATCTGCGATGGAAGGAAAAAGTGAACATTTAAATAATAATTATATGTAAACTTAATCATTGACATTATCTTGGAACACAAATGACCTTTGACCCATATTGTATATATCTACATATATATGAACCCAATATTTATCTCTCAAATTATCGTTAATCCCATAACATTTGTTCTCTGGACTTTCCTATTTCTGGCATCACCTGCTTAAGTCTACCGGAAAGCAAGGATTAATCTATAGGTACCGTTTAGTAAGTTAACGACCTTCTTGTAAAAGATTGAAAATATTGGACCGTTCGTGCCTACTCTAAAAATGAAGCGAAATATTGAGATTGCGAAACACTGTCCCTCAGATTAGGCGCACACCAGCCGCACGTAATTCTTTCAGGTAAGAGTCCGCTCATGGCCGAACGCTTGTTAGGTTTTGCGCTCCAGTAAAATACTATTAAACGTGGTCTTCATCGAGAGCATGTCTAGGTCGCTCTTCAGATCGCATAACTAGGGAAAGAATTAGAGATAGATCAAATCTGGGCAGACGTCTGCTTCAGTGATACGAAAAAATCGACTCGTCCGCAAAAGCCAAAATCACAGTCTCACATCACGCATCATAGAGACTATCTCGCTACAACAATATAGGCTTATGCCGTTATCGTAGCTAATGATGTTTGTCTAGGTTAACCATCGATGCCTGAATCGCTTAGGCCAACTAGGAGACAAAACATCCGAGAAACTTCTCACGTCAAGTTCGTTTGCTAATTTCATTCACGTTTTTGTTTAATGTTTACATCTGGTTTAATACTTAGGAACACATCTGGCTAGCAAATGAGCACTTTTAAATCAATTATTTCTAAGAACCTTTTAGCCGCAGAATCGGAGGCGTTGGAATATCTCAATGGTATAGGCAATATGATAGCAAAGTAATCATTGTTCTAACAGGAAATGTTATTAATACTCACCGGCCTCAACGACTAAACTGCAGTCGTCAATTCCGCCAGAACCCGTTTCAGTACGTGACACTTTGAATCATTGCGTCCGCTTGTATGGACGATTACGGTGCTCGCAGTAAAGTCGGACCTTAAGGAGAAGCTAAGAATTACGTAGTAAAACTATGAGGGTTTTAAAACCCTGTTGATGCCCTCTTGAGAGATCCTAGAGAGTACATCATTTTTGTGCTCATAAAGACTTGAGTAACTAGCTTTTCTACCTTACCGCGTTTCTATTTTATGTACTGCCCTGCATTAAAGAGCAATAGGTCAGGCCAGGCCGTCCTGGTAACACATCTGTTCTCTACGATCATAAGATAGGTGACTTCAAGCCATGTATGGTGAGAAATAACGTCATCGCTTCGCGTGGCCAAATACAAGGCCTTGTAGTATCCTATGTTCGCCCGGCTGATTCAGAATCAACCGTATACGTATGGTAGAGGAGCTTGTCTGTGCACTGGAAGAGCTGTCCTCTCATTCTGTTGCTTGCCTGGTCACTGCCGGCAACTTCAACACCCTTTAAGACACCCTCATGAATTATGGCTCCTAAATAGTCGACTCGACCTCGACACCGACTTTTCGTTATCGAAGTTCGTTAATCGATACATTTGCTGCGAACGCAACCAGAGATAGGGAATAAGGATCATTAACTGCCATAGAGCGCATATATACCGATAATGATAGACCATAGATAAGTTACATCTGCGCGGACTGTCAAATGCCAAGTTCTATCGCGACGCTTAAATTTAGACAAGCCCCTGGAACGCACGCATGAGGCTCCCACTGTATCTGAGGTTGTAAATGTTAAAATGTAAATTTTCTAGTCTTTCTGTTTTTCCCGGAAGCACGAACTGTCGCTCACCAAAGTTGCAGCCTTGTTTGGAGGGTTCAAATGGTCTTCAGAATTATGGCCGAGGCCCGAGTTGTTTTGTTTAGGCTCTATTTTTAAGATGATTTGTCGAAAACGTATGCGCCCTAAAAGCAACTATAGCTTGAACGGGTGGAAATTCGTTTCATTGCAGATGCAGAACAACAGCCATACAAGTTGCTAATAGACCGCGGCCATTTGTCCGATTAGCCCCTCAGTTCTAATAAGTCACTTCTCAAAGATTTTTGCGTCAAGAGGTACGATACCACGCGAGGTGCTTCTGTCCCTGCAGCGCGAAAATGAAGGATTGCAATATAAAACGATATCCAGGATTTTACAATGCTTATCCAAGACCTTGGAAGCCTACATAACAAGAACGCCGTTGGTCCAAATAAAGCGATGAAATATAATAAACTTCTTCATTTTAGTTTTATCGATATACTCATTATTCTTATTTTATGATTCTCACTTTTCTAATATAATCTTACTTTATTCGAAATGACTATAATTTCTATAATATTTATTATTTTAAGAATATCAAATAGAACGTTTAAAAGCTAGTATATAGTTACTTGTAT